GAGTGCAGATTTTTTCCCTTTACTAGAGGAACGCATTGGTTAGTTTCCACTTTCCAGAAACTATGCCAGTTACAAGCATTTGGTTATGAACATGCATGTGCACATGAATGCAGGCTGAGGTGAACAAGAGAGGAGGACCTTTGAGACAAGTGAAGCAGCAAGTTGTCTCTGATGCTGGCCAAATTCCTCATCTTCATACAAGCTTTCTCTGAAAAACGCAAGCATAAGATCAATATACCCACCCAAAACTCATTAAGTACTCTACTTTGAATTGGAATCGCTCCCATTTATAGGCCCACTAACCTATACAAACTACCCATGAAAGAAACAGATCTTGCCATAATAAATTTAAATAAGCTGAAAGCAGATAAGTGAAGCTAAACCTAATATCCCCATCCCTATTTCACTCCAATCCCCATTGTTTTTATTCACTGTAAAGTTCGATTTCCTAAGTGAACAAACTATTAACTACATTACAAAATAATTGCTTTTAGTTCTTTCCAATCTGAAACTTATGCAGTACATATAGCTTAACTAAAGTAATCAATTATCACATGCCAAGAATGGACACAATATAGCTGTTGAATCCAAATTTTCACCCTCTTCCAGCTAAATAAAAATTCGAAAAAGGAAAAGTTGAACCATGATAAATCTCCACGAACAAGTAAAACAGCCCAAGCTTACTAAAAGTTGAAATTTACCCACTTAACGTACTGAATGTCAAACTAAATTCTCATTTTTCTAGTGTAACTAAATCAAAACATCAATAATAACTTTCTTCACTTCGTTTCATCCAATTTCCTCACCTACGAATCAGATCAAAACAACGACACCTAAACTAAATAAAAGAAAAATGTAAAAGAAAAAAACTCAGGCTTACATGATAGGAACGCTGGTGGATATCTCGGGCCAAAATTGATCAACGAAGCTAATTAAATTAGAAAGTGCGTGATATTTCAACTGAGGATGGCTCTCGTTAAGCATCGCCAATAACCCTCCAGCCGAACTGACCATGGTCGCCGCAGCAGCAGCCGCCATTTCTATTCTTCCCCGAATTTTTTTTAAAAAACCCTAACTTTCTTTAATTTTTCGGAGTTGTCACGTCAAGAGAAGAAGAAAAGGGGAGGGTGAAATTAGAGAGTTTAGCTTTTAGTATTTCGTCGGAAAATGAGATTCGGAGACGGACGCCGACGAGGAAGCGACGACAGAGAAAGAAGGTAATACAATGAGAAATGTTTGCTTAGATCTGGGGCAATTTCCTTTTCCTCTGAATCTGATCGAAGAGGGAAATAAGAAGCTACACTTATCTTGAAGGAAAAGAAATCTATTCTTGTAACTTCTAAATTTTAAACATTGGCCTCGAAACTTTTCCCTTTTACACGGTTAAGTCCTTCTTGAATTTACATTGCTCTAAATTACTCTCCTCATTTTATTTATTTATTTATTTTGATTTGTTTGGAGATGGTAACCGAGTAGGATGCAACTTATGCTCATCTTAAACGTGTATTTAACGACGGATGACCAAAATAGAATTAAACATAATATTAAGTTTGATTTCACTTCGCGAGTTCGTGAGCGAATGTTCGGGATTGAGTTGGATAAAATAGTTTGTGATCAAAATAGAATTGTAGTAATAGGTGAGTAACTAAATACGTAATTTACCTGATATTATATTTGAAACGTTTAAAATATCATATTTATAGTTTTTATTATTTAAAAGAAAATAGTTAATTCAAACATGAAAATTATTTTTTAATATATTGTAAGTTATAAATATATAATTAATTCGGGAATTGCACAAGAATATACACTAGTTAATACTATTAAATCAATTTAAAGGAATTTATAATTAATTAATTAACCATACTTAAATTATAAAGAGTGCAATCTCTATACAATATTAGACATATTATATATACATGCAAAAGAATACTTTTATTTCCATAACCCATAATTCAATAAGAATGTTGATTCGAAAATTTGATTTATTATTTTATATATAGTTGTATTAATACTTTTGTTAATTTAATTTAATTCGGTAAATAATATTATAAGAGTTAATATCTACTTATATCGTGGAAAATTCTTTTAATGTTACACTTATTTACGATCATTGTATGAGTGAAAATAAATGATTGAGATTAACTCATTGTTTTTATTTTTCAGTGAATATATTATCATTTCCTATTATCAATCTCTGTCATTTATTTTTATTCATTATATGATCCTAAATTATTTGAATAAAATTATATTATAAATCTAATATATAAAGATATCGAGAAAATATTACTAACTGTATGTATAATAATATTTTTTTGAATAATATGTTTTTTTTATTTATATGTAGAAAAAAATATTTTTTAAAGTAGAATATTTACTACAGTACCCAATACCCGTGGAAGTTATATGGACTATCCAATGATTTTTGGGTTAATTACTATATTCATACATAAACTATATTTGATTCTCAGTTTCATACATAAAGTTTAAAAATTCTCGATTAACTATATAATGTTTTTTACCGTTAATGAGTATACCAATTTCCGTCACGGAAGATGACGTGGAACCCTCTAACTTATAATAAACTGACACGTGGCAATTTAAAAACATGTTTTTATTTTTTAGTTAAATTACATCATTTATCATTTAACTACCTTCTTACTCTTATTTTAGTCACTAAAATTTACAGTTTTTTAATTTAATTATTATCAACTCACCGACCTCAACAGGCCTTCTTCTTCATCATCTTCATTAAGGTCACGGTCCACTGGTGGTAGTCCGGATTCTTATCTGATGCCCACCGCCGTCCCAAGTGATCCTCGGCCTCAAGTTCCGACCGGTGAAACAATACCCTCATCACTGCTATCCAAAGCGTCATATTCGTCAGTCTACGATCAACACCAGCAAAGCCTTATTAGCCAAAGCGCCGTACGTAACGGATAAAACCGAAGTGTTGCATAACAAAATGGAGAAGAAACCCATACTCCCTTTATTTCCCTTTGCTTCGTTCCAATCAAAATGGAAGCTCTGATTGAACCAATTTTCGTATTTAAACTAAACCCATTTTTCACCTCAAAAAACCCATACGCAAGGTTCCCTTCAAAGCCACTACTCATTCCCACTTGCTGTGCAGCAACTCCTTCGCCATCTCCATTACTCCCTCAAGATCCCGACAAAAACTCACTTCAGCTTTTCCCTGAAAGGACACAGGATCGCCGGAAAGTCGTCTGCATTGCTTGGGAGAAGCTTGTTAGATGGTTTCGTTCTTGACGCTCCAGGGCCAAAACTGATGTTCTTTAACGAACTAAAAAGGTTCTTATTTATATGCCCTTTTGCTGACTGTCTCGTGTTGTAATTATGGTTTGCATGGCAAGGGACATAAAGTACACCGACCCATGTGAGTGGCAGGTACCGACCTTATACTTTCTCTCTCTACAATAGAAGATGCAGAACCTCGCAGCAATAGAAGATGCAGAACCATGAAATCCATATGTTTTTCCTTCACAATCGTTGCAACAACCATCTCAAATTCCAATAATCTTATTCGTCCACTAACACCTAACCCCCTTCAATTCAAAACCCCAATCTTACTCTCGAAAGAACCCAACGTTCGGTCATCCCTCTACGATACCAGTCTTTTTTGGAATCACGTTTCATCAGGTTTGGGGTGTTTGGGTTTCTTTGGGGCTTTGATTATGAGGAAATAGGTGGAGAATGAATAGGGATTTGGGAATTTAGGGTTAGGGTTAGGGTTTAAGGGAGTTTTACAAAGAAGAAGAGCCTGCAACCCATTTGGAGAAAATTTTCAAACTCTAGTTACATATTAAAGCAAATACATTAAAATAAAAAAATAATTTAAACTTTGAGTTATTAAAATATTAATAAAATAAATTTAATTTTTTAATAGATGCCATGTCATAAAAATTAATAAAATAAATTTGAGTTATTAAAATAAGAGTAATTTTATAGTTTAATAATTAAATTAAAAAAATTTAATTTTAATGACTAAAATAAGAGTTAGAAGATAGTTGAGTTATGAATAGTGTAATTTGCCTAAAAATTACAAAAAACATGTTTTTTAATGTGTCACATGTCATGGTTATATGGTTACACATCATTTTTCGTGACTGTAGTGAGTGAATCTATTAACAACAGAAAACATTATATAGTTAATCGAGAATTTTTAAACTTTATGTATGAAAATAAAAATCGGGTATAACTCATGTATGAATAGAGTAATTAACCCATAATTTTTAAAAGTCTTCTAGATCATACAATAACGTTTAGAACGCCACCCATTGTCTTTACCATCATGCATATGCTATTATACATTCATGGAACCTCCTATAATGGCTTCCTCGCTCATATAGGGTGGAGAGAAAAATAATTTCTCTATATAAGACATCTATTATATTATTTTACGAACTAAGATTTTTTGTTGGTCTGAAGACGTCGTGCATTCATGGGATCTTCTCAATTTGTCTAAAGATGTTATACAATTGTGAAGTCTTCTTTATTTATTTGAAGACGCGATGCAGTCGTGGAGTCTTCATATTTAGCTTGAAGACGCGTAGAACACCTGACGTCTTTAGTTTAGTACTGTTCAAATCTCCCTAGATGGAAAAATAATCCCCGTGGTGAACTATATTGGGAATTAAAAAATCTCACTTACATTATCTCAACCATTTCTACTATAATTTAGATATTATATAAAAATAAATCATTTTATTATATAAATATTAATTTTAATTTTAATAAAATTAAGTAGTTTTATTATGTGATACATTAATTTAAGACAATTGAAACATAAAATATTATCATATTTAACCTAAAAATTATATAAATTTGTAACATTTTTTATTTTTATTGTAACTAAAAAATTAAATTATATAATTTATGACTTATAACCGAAAAAAAAAATATATATATATATATATATAACATTTTCAATTACATTCTATTTAATCTAAAAATTTGTTCTCTTAATAACAAGCAATGACTCCTTTCTTCACCGGCATTTATTATTACTAAACCATTGCCACTGCTGAAATTCAAAGAGTGGAAATCCCTGCATTCGTTGTTTGGTTAGCCCACAGAAACTTTACCTGCTTAATAAATATTTGAAAATTTCCCCATACTTTCTCTCTCAGATCTCTCTCTTTGCCAGTGTTTTTTACAGAGAAAAAAAGGTGTTAAAGTAAACTGAAAAAGAAGCGAAGTAGAGCAAAGATGGGTGGTGATGAAAAGATCTTCACTTTAGCTCAAGTCTCTGAGCACAACAGCCCCAAAGATTGCTGGCTTGTCATCAATGGCAAGGTGTGCTCTTCCCCATCTTATTGTGATGCATTCGATTTGTTTGATTTAATGCCAAAGCTAAGAGCTTTTGCATGTTTTCGACTCATCGGGTACTTGATTTTTGAGTGATCTGATGAACCCATTTAGGAGCTTTTTTGTTTTTTTTGTTTTTAATATGATTGAACTGGTTAGGGTATGTATGTAAAAATAGGAAAAATAATCGAGCACGTCCGAATCAGGTATAAATCCGTATCCGACACTCATTCCCACTAACATAGTTCATAAGCCATTCATGGCGTTTTGCTGTTTTTCTTAATTCGTATCCGACACTCATCCCTCTGTATATCGGATGTCAGGACTTGAAAACTAATCGAACAGAGAACATATGTGTTGTTGCTTCTGGCTCTTTTGAATTAACCGTTACCATAGGTATAAGTACTGTAATTTGTAAGGGCTAGTTGTAAATAGCCTCTAGAGCCAACTAAGAAGAGAAGAGGGTATCAAACTTTGAATATATGGGTCTTGTGATTATATTTTTAGCTGCAATTTCTTATTCCATCGTGGGTCGAGCTTTTCTAAGACGTACGCCGGACATAAAAAAGGATGGTTCTTTTTTATTATTAAGAGAATGCATCTTAGATGCAGATTTCCTTAGGTTTTTCAATTACTTTATAATTGAGTTTGGGAGTTGCTTCTTGTATGCTCGTATCTTCACGGTATTGTTCACATGATTAATTGAGGACCAAGTTATGAATGCATACTCAGATCATTGAAGGTCCATGACACGTTGCTTATATTCTTCCTTCTTCTTGAAGGTCTCATGTCTGGCTCGTATCCAAACATAACTATGGTATATAACTCCCCAAGTATATGAAAAATCTAAGACAAAGTATACTTGTATGGTCACTTACACCAAGTCCTGAGTAATATAACGTAAGGTTTGTGTCAGGGTGGATAGCTGATGAGAATTTCCGGTAAGAGTAAACGGGAGCTCGAGTGCTTGAAATTAACTGGTTAAAAACTTAAAATGAGGTCTTTTTTTCCGAGGGAAATGTTGCTTTTGTCATAATTGGTTTAGTTTTGATGTGATATAACTTGGAATAAGAAAACACAATTTCCTTCTTCGTGCCCCTGGCAGTTTTGACTATATAATTATGATTCTCTCTGAGGGCTTCGTTACGCTGTGCAGAACCGAAACCTCTTCTCTGTATTTGCACATATGGCATAGAAGACCAGTGTTCTTAGAAGAAAACAAGACCCTTATCTTCTGCCATCAAAGATAAATTTAATTCAGAAGCAGAAAAACTTCCATACTAGTGTCTGTAGTGATGGATTGCATGAGATGTTCTTGATTTATTTTTTGGAGAAGCACAATATCTATTTTATTTATACGAGTTTTAGTGCCTAATAGTGTCTGTCTTATATGTGAAACAGGTTGACGTGACAAACCTTTTGGAAGACCACCCCGGTGGTGATGAAGTGTTGTTATCCGCAACAGGTACAAGACTTCGAGTCTATTTCCTTCTTTATTACGTATACTGCCTATGTTACTCTATGGTTTTAAAGCGGGTACATTTCACGGGGAAGGATGCCACTGATGATTTTGAGGATGTTGGGCATAGTGATAGCGCTCGAGACTATGTCGGAGAGATCAATGTCTCAACTATCCCGAAGAAGATAAAATATAAACCGGCAAACCAGCCACACTATAATCAAGACAAGACATCCGAGTTCATCATCAAGCTCCTCCAGTTCTTAGTCCCCCTTGCCATCTTGGGGTTAGCCGTCACCTCTACATCAAAATCATCTTAAATGTGATTCTAGATCGTGTTCTGATGACCCAAAAGAACCTGGGTTTCATTTATGCCAATCTTTTAAGATTCTCTTCCCATGAAAAAGGCTGATTATAAAGACAAGATTTGGAAGGTTGACAGCTTAATGTTTTCAGTTTGATAATTTTGTTGTTTGATTATTCGAATTTGAAAGTTTCACACCCGATTCTATCAAAAATTCTCCAAAAGGAAAAAACGCATAGTTTATGAAATCATCAAAGTTCCTATCAATACCGGAAGCAGTTGGTCATGATGACTTGATGAAACAATACTGTTTCCTATCATATTGAATTAGCCGATCATGACTCGATGAAACAATATCAACTCCGATCACAGTATCAGGCTGCATCATCATCGGACCAAAGCGGTAGGGATTATGAGAAAAAGAGAAAAGATAGGAGGAAACGGAACAGGAAGGTTGCATCATTACAAATATATACAAACAGGGGGAGGAAAATACAAAGAAATTCTGTACCAGATCAACTGACCTAATTGAATGACACTAAAGTTTCTAAACTCTAACCTACACCTTCATTCCCTTCTCTTCTTAGTAAATCTGTTAGACAAAGGACTTCGATTCGTATTCGTTTTTTTTTTGTGTGTGTAACTCATTACCCTTGCTATGAAATTTTTTAACAGTCCTACTTCTTTCTTTACAAGTAAAGATAAAGGTGGTGGAAAGGGAACTAACACCATCACCCTCACAACTGAGGTGTTGGAAGGAAATATGATTCTAGGGATCCACTTTCTCCCATTGATATCGTCCCGGAAGTGGCTTATCCGTCGCAGGATCAAAGTTGTACCTGCAAACAAGCCCGCATCTTTTATCACATCATAAACCACAAATACACTAAAGAGTTTCTGCAAATGTTTAAGACAGTCATAAAAGTGAAGAAACAGGGTGAAACAATTATGGTATACTTCTCAATGAATTGCCTTTGCTGGTCTGCTTCTGCTAGAGCAAAGAACTCGTCCATTTCATGTGATGTTGGGATGTGTTGCAGCGTTGAACTCCGTACTCTCCAGTTAGTATCTGCCGAGTTGGCCGGCCTAGTAGTAGAACCCGGGGTTCTTATACTCTCTGGGTCCCTTATGAAGCTGCAAGGAGTTGATTCCCTAGTGCCCCTGCAGCAGAAACAGTAGCTATTAGTTAATGCAAAATAAAATCCACAGGTAAACACTTGATTCTCGGGAGCCAGTAAAAAGGTATTAACTATTCATTTTTTTTCCAGCTTTATATCTCCCAGAACCACATTGACAACATTGCAAAGAGAACCAGACCATAATAATAATTTGAAGAATCGAGCAGAAAACGATCATGTATAAAGATTCCTCAGTGTATGATAAACGAAGAAACCCTTTATATCAACATTTAAGCAAGACGACTCTGCAATTCAGGGGGAAATAAACGAAAGATTTTCTCTGTTTTCATCGAGTTTCAGATCCTCTTTCCACATTGACATACTTCAATCACTAGTATTTTAGCCGAAAAGACATTAAAAACACCTAGAGTTCATTTAATATGCACATTAAAATCACAAAAGTTGTTCTACAACTATTTCTGCAAGAACAAATTGAACTGACAGTCCTTTTTGGAGGGGAAGGAGTCCACGAATATGAAAGAGAAAAAAAAGAAACGCAAAGCAACTCGAACAATATCAAACAAAGAGTAGTTCTGGTTGTTAGAATCTCCAAAAATCATATTGACATCCATTACCTAAACCCTCGTCAGATTATCCTATGCTCAAAGCACGGAAATACAAAGCAACTTTGAAGCAGATCTTCCAAAGGGATAAACTCAATTAGCATATTAATCCCCAATCATTCACCACATGCAAAACAAAACAAAAGGGATAAACTCGAGTTTTAAAAGCATAAAAGCATAATATATGAAAAAAAGGTGGGGCCGAAATCAATTATATTAACAAAACAAAAGAAGTTATGAATAACAAAAGAAGTTATGAATGACAAGGGAAGGTTGGTAATGGGAGTTTTATTTAAAAAAACATGGGTATATGCAATGCAGCAAATTAGACACGGTGATAACAAGATCAAAACACAAATACAAAAATGTCTTAGGTGGCGTTTGGTTCGCTGGAATGTTTCTGAGGGAATTGAAATCTGTGAAGGAATTGAAATCTGTCAGGAATTGGAATCCAATTCCATATTCTGTTTGGTTGGCAGGAAATTGAATTGGAATCCAATTCCGTATTCTGTTTGGTTCGCAGACATATTAAATGAATTTGATTTCAGTAATGTAAAATGACAGGATTGCCCTTATTGTTTTTTTTACTTAATTTTAGTTTGTTTTATAAATTACATATAACAATATATTATAAAATTTTAAAAAATATTAAATTTTAATTTTATTGATTGATTATTCATTTCAATAAATTATAAAAAACATGCTAATAAATATCATAAGTTAAAATCAACCCGATTAGGGATGGTCATGGGTCGGGTTTTTGGTCCACCGACCCGACCCGACCCGAAAACAAGGGAACCTCCATCTGAGACCCGACCCGACCAAAATAAAGTTTCACCCAACTTGACCCAAATATATGAATTAGAAACCCAACCCGAAATAATAAAAAAATTATTTTTATTCAATAAAAAAAATAACTTAATTGGAAAAAAAATTATATATAGAGGGGTATTATTGTAATTATTCCTAAATATATAAGGTAAAATTATATATTTTTTGGGTCGGGTCGGGTATTTTTCACCCTGAACCCGACTCGACCCGAATATCACACTTAAAAAAACCAACCCGACCCGACCAAAATAAAGTTTCACCCGACCCGAATATATGAATTAGAAACCCGACCCGACCCGAAATAATAAAAAATTATTTTTATTCAATAAAAACAATAACTTAATTGAAAAAAAATTATATATAGAAGGGTATTATTATAATTATTCCTAAGTATATATGGTAAAATTATATATATATTCGGGTCGGGTATTTTCACCCTGAACCCGAACTCAACCGACCCGAATATCACACTTAAAAAAACGACCCGACCCGACCAAAATAAAGTTTCACCCGACCCGACTATATTAATTAGAAACTCGATCCGACCCGAAATAATAAAAAAATATTTTTATTCAATATATGAATAAGTTACCAAAAGATTGATGAGGGTAGTATGGTCAAATTTCAATTCCCTCCGACAAGAGAATTGAATTTTATCATATAATAGATGGAATTCACTTTCCCTCATTTGATGGAAAGTTGAAGTCATGAGAGATTTCAATTCTCTTTGAAAACTTGAATCAAACATGGAAAAATAGTAGAATTAGATTCCAATTTTCCCTAATTCCAAGAAATTCCTGCGAACCAAACGTCACCTTAAATTCTATATGATTTCTTAAACACGATTATGACAGAATAGAACATAGTACATAATCTGTCAGGTCTACTTCCGTCAAAATCAGAAGTAATTGAAACCGTAAGAATCAATAATAGCTAACTTTAGCTTGTGAAGCAATTAATGATAAAAACCAGACTGATTCAATTTCTCTGCAAAACTGCAGAAAAGAGATGATGAGGTTGAAAAAAGCATGATGTAACAAAAATAGATGAAATAGATGTCCCTAGCATTTAAAATTCTTCCTAAAGCATTGAAACTCAAGAATTCAGCCGGAGGAAAAGTTCCTACTTTCCACTAAATACTCATCTAGTGCTATAAGATGTTAACTTTATTATACAAGTAAAATCGAATGCTCGAATTCTAACATTATGAATGAAAAAATTGAATTGAAATGCCTGATTTTTGTTAGTCGATAAATGGATTGAATACTAATAGTTATTAAAAAAATCCTGCTTTTATTGGGTTATAAAAAATATTAAGTATTATTATTTCCAATTAAAGCATAAAACAGAGAACAATAATAAAACCCAAACTTCCAATGACATAAATAAAATAAATTAAGAGGGAAAAAACCTCAAACCTCTCTTTCGCTTCAATGTCCAAAATATTTTCTCCAAAAGAAGCTTCAACACTAATATTATTGCAGTTGATAATATTATCATTTCCATTATCGTCTTGCACTACGTCTTCTCTTCCACTTTCACCACCCTTTTTCTTTTCCAGTTCCGAGTTTGACCCGCAACTCTCCCGGGGCCTAGAATCCGAATTAGGGTTAAGATTTCGCCCACAGCTATCCTTCTTCCTCTCCTGTAGCTGTTGCTGGTGGTGCCTTTTCGAATCATGGTGGTTCACGACAACGGGAAGCTTCTCTAGCCGTCGGCTTCGCAGCTGGAGATACGAGCCGGCTCCATTAGCCGGAGAAGTGGGGGGTTTCTTTTGGCGTTGAAGGGCAAAGTGTTCTGGATCGGGTCCGAACACCGAGAGAATCCTGTGAGAGTTCCGTAACGGAGACTTCGCCTACCGTTTTGGGCTTCTTGATGTATTTCCCCATTTGGGGATTTTGAAAGAAAAACAAATAAATAAACCGATGGTTTTGGAAGAAACAGGGTTTGAAGCTTTAAGCTCTCGTGTGAACGATAGAGGAAGACAAATGCGAAAATTTGGAAAGGATGGGGAGATTTTCAGGTGGCTACTGCGAGTATTTAGCGCTCTTCAATTTCCTTTTATCGTGTATATCTCGTGATATTTTCATTATTTTATTTTTTAAATAATAATGCAAGCTTTTTGTAAATTGTGGGTTCGGGTGAGTAAGTTTAAACATGGAATTTTAACACCTCTAATAATCATACATTAATTATTTGAAATAGAAAATAAATTAAATGTTAAATATATAATATTCAGGTTAAATGAAATAAATTTATTTTACTATAATTGTATAAATTATAATGTACTATTATATATTTAAATATTTATATATGTATATGTTTATATCTCATTATTAGACATCTTATTTATATCTCTTAATTTTTTTTAAATGTCATGTAAAGACTCTTTGTTTAATGATATCTCAATGATCAAATCTTTTTATCTATAAATACATTCACATCTTATGTGATTAAATCTTTTTTATTTATAGATATATTTTGTTCGTCAAGGATGTCCCTTGTTCCCATATGTAATGAGATAATGGGAGGTAAGATAGTAGATTGCCTCCAACACTAGGTTGAGAACAACTTTCCTAGGAGACCTCCAAATTATACAATTCCCTCCATGAGACTCGATCCCACGACCTCAATGTCAAGATTATTACAATATATCTTATTTCGTCCAAATATTATTTATCGATTACTATGTTTAATATGAATAAATTCGTGACACATTAATTCATCATTTTATTTAAATTTTTAACATCAAATTATTTACTTTAGTTAAATTTTCAGTTAAATGTCACATTTTCACTTTGCGATAGGGACAAGAGGTTTCATTAAAGCTACTTTTAATTCACTACAACTTAAAAGAGACACTTCCGATTTTATATTTTATTTTATTTTATTATATGTTTACAGTTGACAGTTATAACAAACTTCCAATTAACTCAAATCTAAAATTCATACGAATGCTATCTAAAATATTATTTTTTTTATCGAAAATATTAATATTTGACGCTACCTAACATATTTGACATTTTCGGTAAAGTGTTACCTCAAATATTATTTGTTCTACCAGAAATGTTAATATTGGCGCTACCTAAAATGTTATGTTTTCTACTTAAAATTATATAGCGAAATTAACATTTCCGATAAAAAAATAATGTTTTAAGTATCTCTTTACCGGAAATGTTAAAAAAATATTAACATTTTTGATAAGATTTTTCCTTAACCGTATATTAAGGTTGTCGTACAGAGAACTACCCTTTCCCCAGTCTCAGTAAGATTCCAAAATTCCTTTCAAATTTATAAGTATGATATCATAATTTTGAATATTAAATGAAAATATTTTTAATAATCGAATAATAAATATAACACATTTAAATATGATAAATGTGACAAATTCGGTGTGTAAAGCATCCGTAATTGTACTACTAATTTTTTTTAATCCCTTTTTTCCCATGGGATAAGGGGAGGAAATATAGTAGACTGCTCTTAACACCAGATTGTGAGCAACTTCCGTAGGAGACCTCCGAATTATGAAATATCCTCCGTAAAACTCGATCTCACGACCTCAAAGTTAAGAACCTTGTGCTCTACCAACTGAACTGGATGATCATTTACGTAATTGTACTACTACCAACCTTAATATATTCTAAATTTAAAAAATATATATTTTTATTATCAAAAAATTTAATTATTAATTAATTGATGACATAATTTTTTTTAAATAAAATCAGGAATTTAAATCTTAACATCATGAATGAAACAAATTGAATCGAAAGAACCATCTCATAATAATTTTTATGATATATCATCCGAATTAATCCACTAATAAGTTAGACATTGACGATTATACCTAAAAATAATAATCCAATATTTGTCATAAATTAACCTATAAATTAAGAACCCCACTCACAAGTGGAAGCCAATTTCTCATTGTATTTTATGTTGCTACTAGTAAAAAAGGCAATCAATTTCCACATGAAAGTTTGGATCTGTGAAAAGGAAAGGAAATCAAACGTACACACTTTGAAAACGATGAAAAAAGAAAAGAAGAAATCATTGGAAATTGAAGATTCTGAGTTAGCAATACCACCCACCTCCACCGTAACCGCCGGCCACCACCAACTTTTCAATCAAAACTCTCCTCATCATTACGGTGGGGTTTCAACAACATTCCACCCAACATCATAATACCATCAGATATTCAAAATATTCTCATTCAAATCCACTACAGATCCTTTATGAATGATAAAGCTTACTATCCGAATCCGAAACTTACTCGATCCTTAACATTTAAAACCCACAACTAACATTCGAGTGTAAAAAACCCATGATGCAGAAAAAATGGCAGCGTATAAGACGAGTAATACGTACCCCTTATAGTCATGTAACCCTTGTCTCTCCATTTATGAGCTTCTTCAACCCTGTAAATATTGACAACTCTCCCAAAGAAACAAGTGCAGAGTTTAAGAAATGATCCAAAGTTCCTTTCAGATACACATTACCAACAAGGAAAATAGCTTACCAGTTACCCCCACCCGTACCTGAAATGTCACCATCCATCTTTATACACGAGAAGTTTGATGGAGGAAGCAGTCAGTCATGAAAATGAAACAACATTGTTTCTGATCATGGTGACAGGCTCCGTCGACATCATCATAAAGAATGCAAAATTAGCAATGAAGATCGCACGGGAAATACAAAAGATAGGTGGAAAGGGGTCATGTTTCGTCCAAAGAGTGTCTCAAAGTTCCATCATTACAAATATAGACAAACAAGGGGAGGAAAAAAGAAATTCTGTACTGGATCAACTGACCTAATCGATTGACACTAGAGTTTCTAAACTCTAACCTACACCTTCATTCCCTTCACTTGTAGGATGATCTGTTAGACAAAGAACTTGGATTCAGTTTTCTTTTGTAACTCATTACCAATATGTTACAGACCAGTAGTCCGGACACATTCTTTTAACAGTTAAGGGTGATGGAAAATGGAAATAAAACCGTCAACTTTACAGCTAAGGCTAATTCCTAGTAGCTAAAACTACCTAAATTTAAGATTAACTGAGCATTTAGAAGGAAATATAACTGCTGATGGAACATTAATGCTGCCTAGGGGTCCACTTTCTCCCATTGATAACGTCCTGGAAGTGGCTTGTCTTTTACCGGATCAAAGTTGTACCTGAAAATAATCCCACATCTTTTATCAGACCATAAACCAAAAATACATTAAAGAGTTTCTCCAAAAGTTTAAGACAGTCATAAAAGAGAGAAACAGGGTGAAATAAATATAGTATATACTTCTCAATGAATTGCCTTTGCTGGGCTATTTCTGCAGGAGAAAAGAACTCATCCATTTCATTTGATGTCGGGATGTGTCGCCTCGTTGAATTTTGTACTCTTTGGTTAGTCTCTGATGAGCTGATCAGCCTAGTAGTTGAAACCGGGGTTCTTATGCTCTCTGGATCCCTTATCAAGCTGCAAGGAGTTGACTCCCTAGTGCCCCTGCACAAAAACAATAGCTACTAGTTAATGAAAAGTGAGAGAATCTAAACATAAGCACTCGACTCCAGGAAGCCAGTAGGAAGCATTAACTGTTCCTTTTTTTTAGGTTTTACAATCCCCTTCCCCAAAAAAGAAATAGCTTTGCATGTAGAACCAGATAATACCAATCATTTGAAGAATAAAGCTAACAATGTTTAAACATAAGGGTTCGTCGGTGTACAATAAAAAGAAAGTGACTCTTTTTATCACATTCAGGCAAAAGGTCTCTGCCATCTAGGGGGGAATAAATAAAAATTTCCACTGTTTTCGTTTTGTTTTGGATCCTGTTTCCACATGGATACGCTTGAATAAGCAGTAATTCAGCAGAAAAAGACTCTACAAATTTATGGAGTTCATTATACAAATTAAAATCACAAAAAACTGCTCTGTAATTACTTCTGCAAGGATATATTGAACTGACAGAGCTCTTTTTTCTGTAAGGGAGGTGGTTAAAACTAAAACGAGATAAAATTCATCAAAGTAATTCGACTTAAACAAGCAAAAAGTTAAAAGAAAAAGAAAAAGCAAAGCAAATTCAACGAATATTAAGCAAAGAAGAGTAACAAAACAGGTTTTCTGGTTATTAAAGTGTCCAAAGATCGTATTTAACATCCACTGTATTCTGTTCCCAAACCATGGAAATATAAAGTAAACTAGAACCATGTATTCCAAAGAGATGAGCTCAATTTGCACATTAATCCCCACAGAAAAAGAAAACAAACACAAAATGGTTTCATAAATTTTTATCTTGTACAAGTCATGGCATTCACCGCAAGCAGAAGAAAAAAATGTTTTGTTTCTTTCCAATAGAATAATTAGCAGCATAGATGCCTAAAAATACCTAAACAAAAGAACCAACAGATCTAAAATATAGCACCACAGAATTTGACAAACCCAAGTTTTAAAAGCATAATACTCCATTATTAAAGAAAAGGTATCATAAATCAATTATAGTAACAAAACATAAGTTATGAGTGACAGGGTAAGGCTAGTAATCTATATCCTTCGGATTCTCCATTTTTCTTGAAATACTTGTGTCTGACATCCATTTAAAACACATGGATATGGGTATATCAATATGGGATATGATCTTTCATATTTGTCCGGCATATCCATATCCAACACTCAAACCTGAATCCCAGTAACATGGCTGGTAGTTGCATAGTTTTATTTCAGAAACAAAGGTTTCTGTCATTATTCAACCACCTACTTCCATCAAATTCAAAATAACCAAACAATGAATCATTAATAGGCAACTTTTGTTTGTGAGGTAATAAAGGATATAAGCCGACTTATTTAATTTCTCTGCAGGGGAAAGACTACAGAAACAGATCAGAGATAAAATTGAAACAAATAAAGAACACTTCTTCTCAGCCATTGATTCACAAAAATATTATACCGTAAGTATAATTTCTAAACATTGCTAGAAAAACCCATAGTAGCAAATTGATGAGAAGTATGGAACTCATGTGAATATGAAGTGAAAAGAAATCACATTTGTTAGCAGATATTTTCAATATAGCAGAATCCCAGCATGAATTAAGGTTTCTTTTTTTTTGTATTTTACTATTTTTCATGTTTGTGACGAAACCAGGCGTCTAAGACATCAAGAGCAATAAAAAATACACGGTTTAACACAAATACACGAAATATAGTCCAAATATTAAAATTTCATCCTAAAACAACAAATTGCAAGAACTCAGTTAAACTAAAATTTTCTCCTTTTCTTGGGGTCTAAAATAAAATAAAAAGAATAAATTTGTGAAGTGCTTTTAATATCAGAACTTTGTGTTTTCTTCATTAAAAAGAATAAGCAATTAAAATTATAAAATACCCAAAATCCCAAATCCAATGTAAATAATAAATAAACGAAAATAAGATAAAAGCACTGAACCAACCTCTCTCTAGCTTCAATGTCCAAAATATTTTCCCCAAAAGAAGCTTCAACACCACCAAAATCATTGCTTTCATTATTATTATTATTATTGCCAGTGTTGCTATAGTTAACAACATTATCTTCTTGTCTAATGTTTTGGCTTCCAACTCCACCTTCCTTTTTCTTCCCCGAATCCGAGCCGCTGCTCACTCGAACCCTAGAATTCGAACTAGGGTTACGATTCTGTTCACAGTTATCCTTCTTACTGCCCTGTTGCTGTGTCTGCTGCTGCTGCTTGTGTCTCTTCGAATCATGGTGGTGCACCGCAACCGTCGACTTCTCCAACCGTCGACTCCGCAGCTGGAGATACGAACCGCCTCCTTTACCCGGAGCCGAAGCAACGGTAGCTGGAGAAGAAGCCGATGATTTCTGGAGGCGCTGGAGCGCGAGGGTTTTGGCTCGGGTACGAACACCGAGGGAAGCCTGCGAGATTTCCATGACGGCAACTTCCCCTGCCGTTTTGGCCTTCCTAATGTACTTCCCCATTTGGGGTTTGAAAATTGATTTCAAGAGGGAAACGAGAAGAAAGATGGGTTAGCAGTTGTTTGTTATAGAGAGAAAAGGGAAGCAAAAATAAAATATTAAATATTCCCCCCTTTTTACTTTCATTTTTTTATATTTAAATTAGTTTTTATTCATTAATAATTTATAAATAATTAAAAATATTTGTACAAAAATATGGATGAGACAATAAAAATATTGTCTTAAAAACTCCCTAAATTAGGGATTAAAAGGGATAAATCAATTTCCATCCCAAACTTTTATAATTTTTTTAATTTAACCTCTGTATTTCTTTTTCCATACCAATCATTAATGTTTTTTAATCATTTTACATTTTTATTATTATTAAAATAATTAAAACGAACAAATATAAAAATTAAGAATTAATATTCGTAAAAAATATTAAATTTATACTAAAAAATCCAAACAAGGAAAAAGGAATATTCTTTCCTATGTTTGAATAATCCATCCCGTATTTAATAAATGTATTTATTAAAAACGATAATCTTTAATATTTTTTACTCATCGTAATACGTCAGCTAATATTTATATGTATTTTTATTTTCATATATTTGTTTTTTTATTTTAAAAGGCAACAATCTGAATTTACTTTCTATATAAATTTGTTTTATAATTATTTTTTTATTGCAATAAATAAAAATATATTTTCAATATTATTACAAATCATGCCTTATATTACAAATTACGTCCAAAATCTCATCATCTCACGGTATGAGTCAAGGACAATAAGCATTGGATACCTTTTCTTAAGTGGCAACGTGGAATGTTCATTTTTATTTTTTATTACTAATTTTATTTTTCAAAGGGTAAATTATATAATATACCACTAAACTTTAGAAGATATATTATTTATACTATTGACTTTTCAATTACTCCAATTATAGCACTTAACTTTTATTTTAGCTTTAATTATACGAATGGATCATTAAATTTTAATTGTACAGTGGAATGGACGAATCTTTTAATGACTGCGATGACCTGGATAAAACGAAGTCATTTTGGCACGGTTATTAAACTTTAAGAATGTATCGATTTTATCATTAAACTTTAAAAGGATTCAATTTTAGATACTGAATTTTTTCGATCGCTGAAAGTCAATCGCCTATTTTCACCAATCGTCATTCGCGAAAATATCAATATTAAAATATTCATATCTCACTCATTTTTCTTCCCATTAGACTGGATCTTCACAAAATTCACTCAAAATCATTAAAAATCCATCTGAATGTTCCACGTACTAATACTTTATCATCATATGACAATCATTTGATAATACCAATTTTGAGATATATTGTTCATATTCTTAAAACAATAAAAGATAAATATCACCACCGTTAAGTTTATTAATATTTTTTTAATAGAATTTTACTAATATTTGATTTTAATTCCGCAATTATATATGTAATTTTATCTATATTATCGGGGATTGTATTACCATAAAACGAGCATCAATGATTCATGTAGTATAACACGACTATTTATTTTATTAAGTTAAAAGAGAATGCAAAGTAGTATATGTTTTAAATATTTTCAATCATTTGACGATAAATGTTCAATCATCATTACAACCATTATTGCTTAAACCTAAGTTTACTAAGGTAAGTTGGTTCGCGCAATTTAAGACATATAAGTAAACAGTAAAATGGAGGGGGATTCAAACGTAAAAAGAATCGGGAATGAGAGCAATGGAAGCTTGCAGTGGAGGTGAAATGTGATGCTTCCTTTTCGGCTTACTTGTTGGATTCAGGATTTGGTCCGCTAGGTACCTCGTGAGCGGCGGCTTTGAACTGTCGATCCCCACTACTGCTGGTGGTTTCCGGCGTCAAAGATGCCGGCAATGGGTGCGAATACGAGGCTGGTCGTTGAGCTGAAGACGGGGAAGAAAACGAGAAAAGTTGGCATTGACGGGAAGAGAGACAAGCAGGCGGCGGCAAACCAAGGAGGAGGAGGAAGAACTGTAGGGCAAAGCGTGCCATTGAATTGTTATGAAAAAGAAGTGGAAAGCAGCAGCGAGCCCCCAGCCACAGCCAGTAATGGAGAAGGGATATTGAATATCCATGAAAAGTTGAAAACCTGCAGGCGGACCACCGTGTCTGGCTTTAAGTTTCTGGTACCAAAAAGAGAACAAGAAATAAAACAAGATCAATTAATGGGTGGAAGGTGGGAAAAAGTTGACAAACAAAACTTTTCAATTTATAATTTTATCAGATGTAAAAAAAATGTGATATGAAAAAAAATTTAAAACATCTTATCTATTTTTTGTTTATGTCATTTGTCTCACAATTTAAACATCACATTGAATAAATTTAAAGGGTAAATTACACAAATGGTCCCCCGACTATAAGATGATGCTTTGTTGAGTCCTGACTATTAAAAGTTACAAAATGATCCTTTGATTACAGGGCGTTGCTTTGTTGAGTCTCCCAACTATTAAAAGTTACAAAATGGTCACTGACTACTCATATATTCAAAACTCGCCCTTTTCTGTTTAAAAAAAATTGATGATAATATGAACTGAATGTTAACCTATTGACTGAGATATGATAAAATATGATATCAAAATCTCAAACGAGTATCATATTTCAGTCAACATATTAACATCCAGCTCAGACGACCGTCAATTTTTTAACGAAAAATGATGAGTTTGTAATATATGAATAGTCTTGTGACCATTTGCTAACTTTTAATAGTCAATAGACTTAACAAAGAAATATTCTATAATCAGTGGATCATTTATGTACTGTACCCCAGATTTAACGACTCTCCTATTAATTACACTTAAATACAATTACATAAATAATAATTTTATTATATATATGTACGACTGTAAAAATATAATTACATCTTAATTTCATATGACTTATTTGGACATATAAATTATAATTACCCAATTTTATAAGTTCGATGTATGTAATTGGATTTGAGTATACACATGTAGCATGTTTAAACAACCATTGTAATTTATAAGTATCCATTAATTAAGTTTAATTGAAAGCATTGGTTAAAATTTTCAATTCTTAGAAGAAAGGTGTGAATTTATATAATCATGTGTATATTTACACTATTCAACTTTATAATTAATATTATTTTTTAAAATCAAAACTCATATAATTATATAATTTTAATTTATACTATCAATCGTGGCACAAAAAAATACAATGTAATTATGTTATATTAATCAAACATGTATAGGAAATTATAATTTATTGTAATCCACATATAAATGTAAGGGTAAAGTACATAAATGGTCCCTCGACTATAAGATATTACTTTGTCGAGTCCCTTAATTATTTAAAATTATAAAATGATTCCCCGTCTATAGGGAGTTGTTTTATTGAGTCCATCTACTATTAAAAATTACAAAATGGTTATCCGACTATTCATTATATTACAAACTCTTCATTTTCTATTAAGAAATAACGGTCGTCTGAGCTGAACGTTAATCTGCTGACAAATATACGATAGTTGTTTGAGATTATGATATCAAATTTTATCATATTTCAATCAATAAGTTAACGTCCAACTTAGACGGCCGTTAATAATTATATTTATATAATTATACTAGTGTTCAAACACATTCTATTTTTTATAAAAGAATTAATTATAAATTTAAAAATATAATTATTTATAAAAAAATTAAAATATATTAAATTTCAATTTTCTTTTAAAGCAAAATAAAAAAATGGTTATAAAATTAGGAGTTTGAAAAATAATTTTATATTTATTACTATAAATTAAAAAATGTACCATTACCATCACTTATTCAATTATGGGCGGACATTCATGGGGGCTAAGAGGAGGACTAATGACGAAACTCAACATTTTTTTTGGAGGGCAGTTAAGAAATTTTATATATTAGTTAAAATATTTTATTACTTTCAACTCAAATGAAATTGAAATTAAATATTTAATAACTTAAAGAATATGAACAACCAAACAGAACAAAATAAAAAAATTTGTCTATTAAAATTAGAAATAATAAAGGAGTTAGTTCATTTAAAAAAATAATACAAGAAAATTAAAGTTAACTATTTTTAATAAATGTTAACTAAATTTTGAAGTAGTAATTTGCAATTTTTAAAGTAGTATACACATTTTATTGGATAACTAAATTTAATAACATATTATATACACTTTTAAAGGGACCAACTTAAGAATTTAATATATATAAAATATATACCTACAGTAAGTTGGCCTAATGAGATGTGACACTAGATCCCTTAGCAATGCCAGAGATTTAAATCCTGACGTTTGCGAATAGAGCAAATTTGATTGGGAGGGTCGCTCTCACTTCTGCAGTAATCGATTCAGAATAATCAATTAATAAATTATAATATACCAAAAATATATATCAATGTGTCAGAGTGATTAAATTAGGAGTAATTTGAAAGTTAAGTCATCAAAATAATAAAAAAAACTTTAGCGACCAAAATAAGAGTGAGAAGATAGTGAGTGATGAATGATGAAATTTACCCATTCGCTTGTTAAGTTTTTTGAGGTACTAAAGTGAAATAAAAATTAAACATTAGGTATGATTTTAAAAAATCGAAAGTTTATATATTAAAATCGTAGTTTACCCAAAAAAATTGGGAGGGTCATGGCCCCTCTAATCCTTCAATAGTTCTGCCTACCTTGACCCGCTAATTTTTTAATATTAATTAATATTAAAAAGTATATATTTCTGAAAAATAAAATAAAAAAATCTACCAGTCTCTAAATTAAAAAAATGTATTAATGAAAAATAAAAAAATATTTTAACTCCTATTTTAATAAATTCCTAATTCTGTCCTGTCTCTAACAAAAAAAAATCATGATCTTTTATTCTTTCACAATTAAAACCTCCAATATTTCGACTTGCATCGTTATTACAACCGATAAATAAAATACTTTAATTGAAACATTTAAAATATAATGATCCAACTGTATGTGTTTGCTCAGAATACAATGACCTGTGGAGCAGTTTAACCATAAATACGTACATCAATTCACACAGATTAAATCTGTAAAAAGTAAAAACCACAACACAAATCGAATCGGGCTCGTTCTTCCAATCATTCATAGCTCTCACGATGAAGATCATCAATTTTTTCTTGATTTCATCCTTTCTCTTCTCAATTTCTAGGGTTTGCTCTCTATAACTCTCTTGTTCTGTTTATAATTTATATCTGATTGTAATAATTTCTTTTAATCGATTAGATTTTTTTTGTTACTGCAGGCTGAATATGCTGGATCTGTTTTCTTCATTGATAGTTCTACTCATCAATTCCTTCGCGCTCGATCCTCCGGCGATGTCTCTCAGGTACTTTATTGATTGATTCATTTTTCTCTGATTCAATTCATTCATTTGTAATTAGGTTTCAAGTATTATAAATTAGTGATGATTTTAAGCATTAAGGGCTTGTGGATGGTTAAGTTTATCTGGATAGAATATGTAAAATGGAAAATAACATTGAACTTTAGCAGTGTTTTAATTTAGTGACTTAGTTGTATGTAGATGTTTTGCCATGTATAACAACTTTGTTTTTCTTCTTCTTCTTCTTATTAGTTTTGAATTGTTTAATGTTAAATATTGTATTGATAACTTGAAGTTACTATCATTTTACTTCCATTTTTATATAATATGAAGTGCTTTTAACGTGTTTCTTAGATGTGGAAATATGTTTTCCTTACTCTTCATATATAAGGTTTATTGATATTGGAACGTTCATACTCTTCATATATATAAGCCTTATTGATATTGAAACATATATTTTAATGTCTCTTTTAACAGTCAGAGCCAATGTTGTTACCTGAAGTTGGTGCCACCGTGTCAGTCTTGCTTGGTTTTCCACCACCAATAACGCTTTCAGCTGCTGGTTCCTCTAAGGTTATCAATCTTGAGTAATAAATTATTTTAGTTTTCATATTTTTCTTAGAAGCTTTGATTCAAAGGTATTCTATGCATTTGTTTTTGCAGTTGAATGAGGTTCTCATTCCTAATCCATTTGATAGACCTCGTGCTGTTTTCGTGCTTGAAGTTATTGGAGTTGACGGTACCTTTAATTTTTGACTATGTTCTTTTACTCTATTTTCTTCTTCACGTACTCCTCTTCGTTGTTTTGGTTAAATAGATTTTCTTTGGTCTCCAGATCCTCTTGTTCTTGACCCGAAGAATGGTCTCTTCCACAAAGCCTTGAAGAATAGTATTCGTCTTGGTTCACATAAAGTGGACATTGAGCTTCCAGGTACCTGACCCTTTATCAATATGTAAAAGTAGTGGACTTTTATTGTGTTTTATATTTTTCCCTGAATGTAGCTATGTGGTAATTGTTCAATTTTGTAAAATTTTCTTTTAGATGAAGAGGAAGTATCTGTTATTTCTTTGGACGAGTCTCTAAGAGATTACTCTGAAGAAGAGATCACTGACTTGGTTAGTTTATAATTGTTCACAGATTTAGTTAACATTTGTTTATATTTTGTTTGATTGTTTATTTGGCTCACACATCTGGCATTGATTTTTTGTGTTTAGGCATCTTGGTTGGGTGGATCATATGTCCCTGATGCTACTAGGTCTATGCATGGAGTATTGACAATTCCCTTGGAAAATGGCGACAGTGTGAACCTTCATTTGTCGAAGGTCCTATTCAGGAACCAAAATATGTCTGCTTTTTTTGAATTGTTTTTGGCTGACAATGTATCGTAGTAGGAGTCATATGCAGTCTTGAATTCTTATTTACCTCATCTAGTGCTTTTGATTTGATTTTCCGCAGAAAGTGCACAGGAAATTTGCATCAAAACTATTTGCTCTGTTCCACAATATAATGAAAGCAATTGAGATGCATGAAGATTTGTCACAGGCTTTGCATAGACCAGCAGAGTTAATAATGGGTTCTTTTGATGGAATTAAGGTACTAAACATACATACTTCATTTGTGTAATAGTAGTATTTTTTTTATACATGTACATCTTGTCTGAAAATAAATTCTGAGACCATCGTGTTTAAGTAGGTCTCTTTTATCCTTTTCAGCTCACTTTCCTTGATAGCTTTCAATATTAATTAGAACTTTCTTGGATTGTCTCTAATTTGTAGGCCTCTAGCATAGAAAATAGTTTATTCAGGTTTCTATTTAGTCATGTATTTTCATGCTACTGTAACGTCCGTACTGCCTCGCATTCATGTTTAATTACCCACTTGCTAATCCTCTTAATATCACCACCCCCCCCCCCAAAAAAAATAAATAAAATAAATCAGGCTTTGCAGGAGCAGCTTGAAGCTGACGGTTCTGATAAGCAAGGAATGAGGATTCTGCTTGCCACACTTTCCAAGATTGTTGATTCACTACAGACAGCATATGAAGGTTTGTAAAATGTCGAATACTCTATTGTGGAAGGGAAAATGTCTTCAATTTACTACTAATTGGTTAATGTTGACTGTTATTCTTGTTGGTAGTCCATTTATAAACTCCGTGTATACAAATGCAAAGGCAGACATCTATATCTATATATATATAGGTGAAACTAGACAAGCCAATTTATGTGGAAATCTGTATGCATTTTTTATGGTGATATTATTCACAAAATTTAGAGTGAATGCTTTTCTTCTCCCGAGTTGTTGGCCACATTTGCCTTTCTTTATTCCTCTCCCCTTAATCCCTGGCTGTCAATTTGTTTGAAAACACTGAGGATTGGGCACTGGGCAGGTAAAATTGTTGGAGTTATTGTCTTTAATGAAGCATCTCAGTCAGAATCAAAAACATTGATGAATGTGATTACTACCTCACGTCCATCTCCACGTTGGTTGGAAGAAACAAAACGTCCGACTAATGCCACCCTTGCTGCACAAGTTTTGGTTAGAAGAACCCTTGCTTGGATAACTGGAATTGTTCTTCTCATTGCAACTCTCTTGGGGGTAAGACCTATGCTAATATTAATTTAGTTTGATGCCAGCTTTTACATTGTTCCTGGAGTATTCGTTTTTAAAAATTTCTTGCAACACTGGAGCTTAAATCTATTTTCATAAAATTAAATAACAAACATAGGCCTTTTAACGAACTTTGAAGTTCTTTTATCCCGGGTTTTCCATCTAATGAAAAACGCAGATGTACTGATTTATGTTTTCATCTTTGCATTGTTCTTTTAACGAGTGACTGGCTATAGGATCCGAACAAAAACAATAGGACCCTTTGGGAGAGGGAAAAATTATTCTCTCTAGATTTTCAGTAGCGAAGGCTTTGGTCCATTCTGTCATTGTCCATACAGATCCACACCGTTATACTCTTTGCTGATTTAGGAGTTTTACCGACTCTCTCTAGGTTTACCACATTGATTATGTTTCTTTTAACTGTGTCATTGATAATGTTCATATTCACTTTTTCATTTCTTTTTTACCACTGCAGGTTTACTTCCTTCTCTATATGCCGTTGACGAGGGACACACTTTTGTACTCCAATGTCAAGCTAGACTAAGCTAACATAAATAAGGCGAAGTATAACGAATAGTCAAACTATCGGAAGGCGCCCGCCATGATTTATCTTTTATTATGCAAATCGAGGGATATATTGTTACCTATGAAGCTATTTCATTCCTAGGTTATTTGGTGATGTTGGATAGGTTAATCCGGCAGACAAAATGCTCGTTTTTCTTCCATAGGTATTAGTAGTTGCACGAAGTATAAATTTGGCTATTTTCGGGTATCATATTGCTAAGGGACAGGGACTGTGAAGGAGACGAAAGTAAAGCTTCTTATGATTGTATTTTATGTAGGTTTTGGCCATTCTGTTCAATTTTCAGATGTGTATTGGGATTAGGCTTCATAGCTTCATCTCAAGCTGTCTTTGAAGGGAGTGGAGGTTGTCCCTTCAAACCAATATTTTATGGTTGGCAATTTAATTATACGTCGAAACAAATTTTAAAAAAGAGCTTAAAACACAAATTGACCCTTGAGATGGACAGGTTTTGTCAGATTGTCCCTTGAATTCTTTTCTGGTTCAAATTGATCCTTAAATATTTTTGTACCAACTTATTAATTTTAGTGGTAATTTAGCCCTGTAAAAAAATCAAGGGTCAATTTGCCGAGTTTCGAAAGTTCAAGGGTAAATTTTACAAATTTTATCAAATTCGAAGGTCATTCTTTACTTTAAGTCATTAAAATATATCATATCAAACACCGATTCGGTAGAATATGGAATATGATAGTCATTTTAAACAAATATAAATTAATGTCGTAAGAACTGGAACATTTGATTGCATCATTTATTAAACTTTAAAAAATTATTAGGATACAATATAAACTAAATAAAAAGTTAAAAAAAATCGAAATTAGTTTAACTTTTTTTTATAAATTAATTTATTGTATCTCATGACATCTTCATGTAAAAACCTTTTAATGGTTAGGTATATACATTAAAAAAAGTAATATTACTACTCCATATAAGAGAAATTTACATTGTTAAATTTAACAATTAAATTGTTAATTTACTAATCATACAAAAAATTAAGAAAGCATATAGAACTACTTTACTTTCATAAAACGTTATTAAATCTCCCATAACATCTATACATTTTGTGGGTAGGAGTATTATTACTTCAATTATAAGATGCCAAAGCTGCCCTTACTGCCCCCATGTATTCTTTGAACTACGTCGTTTGGATAGATTATGAAGCAAGCAAGCATGTTGCTCAGCACAACAGAAAGGCAGACATGAACATGTAGACCAGTCCCACACCGCTACTTGAATAGAACAGGCACGAGCTCCTTGAGTCTTGGTCAAGAAAGATGAACTCATCTAGTTTAGTCATATTATCAAGTTAAATCAAAATTAGTTCGGTAAGCCTTAGCCTTCCCTGCTTTATTATAGAAAGGATCGGATCAAATTAGTATTAACAATCTTTAAACCATCAAAATTTAATCCTTTGAAATTACTTGTGCTTGGAATTCAAGTCATTTTATTCAAATCTAGCTAATATATATGAATCACATCCAAATCTGAAAAGAAAGTTGCCAGAATCAATATAACGAATATCTAATATTTTACATGTTCAAATCCAGTGAACATATCAAACAAAATGTAAACATTTGGTTGTTCAATAATGATACACCTTAATGGAAAATCTCGTTCTCGATATGCAGCGAAGTCATTAATCAGAGTCACCCGCCATCTTCTGAAGGTGGCCACATTTTGGCTGCCCAATTACCGGAACAGCTTCCCTAGCCTCGAATTCTCGGCGTTCTGCTGAGAATTGGGTTAAACGGAAGCGTATAACACAAAGTTAATCTGTTGGGGTTTTACATGAATATGACGATCAGCATGAACACTGCAATACCGAATTGCCGAAGCACTTCGCTTTCTTAGCAATCTTTCGAACTCCATTCCCGGTTAGAGATAGTGAAAACGATGCCGGAGATATGAGGATCCTATCCATCATGTTTATTTTAGGGGCCTCGAGGATTGCTTTAGGTATGGATAGTGCCCACTGCATACCCCATATTGCAAGAGGCCTCATATATATAAGGGATCGGAAATGGCCATCCATCGTCCATGCTTCTGGAGTCTGGAACCAGTAACTGCTCGGGAAAAGAAAACAGCGTTGAAGTAGTGATTTGAAACCCACATCGGACCAGCCCGCAGTGAAATGATAAAAGAAATTAAATGTCTTTTTAAAGACTTACCCGAAACCCTCCTCGGACCAGCCCGCGGTGAAAATGCCTTCAGCAGTTGTGAATGCCTCTTTCTCCATTCCGGCAAGAATCATATTCGCCGCTACAGCATAGGTTACACCGGTCCATATTTCACGCGACTGCATGCATGTCTCATCCGCCTTTCCGTTGGTATGCATCCCGTTTACCGCTCCCATCCGACCTCCTTTAACTTTCATCACATTGAAATCATATATTTTCTGAAGAGCACTTCTTGTTTTGAACTCATCAAAAAGTGGGGCCAAGCCTGAAGATGCCGTGTACCATTGTCCTGCCAGTTGATCCGCTTGTATCGACTTACTGTTACTACTGGACCCGCTGTCGTAGTTGAAATAAGAGCCATTCCACAGTTTCTTTTCAAATGCTGATTTTGCTGTAAAGAATTTGGTTTTGCATGTTTCAGCGAAGAACTTGTCACCTATCTGCTCGGCCATTGCAGCGGCAGCTTGGAGCGCCGCAAGCCATAAGCAACCACAGTAAGCACTTACACCATGGACAGTCCAAGTATCATAAGTTTGATCAGGAAATCCATCATTCTCGATTAGGCCATCGTCGTCTCTATCAAATTGTTCCATGTATTCCATTGCAGTACGAACAGCGGGCCAAACATCGACTCCGAATGACAGATCCCCTGTGGCAGCAAAATCTCTATACACTTGAAGCACAAACTTGGGATTCAGATCCTTCCATTTGCTTGTGTCATGTATATTATAAGCATTCATTTCATTCCAAGGATCATGAGTCCCTAGATCATGAGGAACAGCTCCTCTAACTTTGCGAATTCCGTAGTTACCTTCTGCTAGAAACTTTACTTTCCTTCCATCCTCGGATAAAACAGCCTTGGCGAAGTCTCGTTGAATGTTGAGCTCAATTTTAGGAAAAAGCTCGAGAAGGGCAAAAGATGCATAAAAGTGTACATCATAAGTGCACCACATGATATACTCGACTCCCTCCAAGTACAGAAACCTACCGACATCATCCCTGTCATCTAGTTGATCCTGCCATTTGAAGTGATGTGATAAGTGGTTGGTGCTTCCTTTATTCTGAGGAATAGCCGAGTCGCCATTATTTTTCAACCCAACACCGGTAGAACCATTACAGCCACTGGTAGTCCTATGCTCAACAACGGTACTATACTTGCGGTTCACTTTAGCTTCAGTTACTTTCACATCTACGCTTTCTACATTTGTCAGTAAATCTTGATTATTTTTCACATTTGTGGATGGCAAAGAAGAATCTGCACAGTGATTACGAAAGATGAATTTAAGCTTTAAAGACCAATCTACTGGCATACAAGATACCATATGTAAATGATGCCATATAGTACAATAGCATGCACATAGTAATTACTAAATTTAAGCTAAAGCAAGAAGTAAAACGAGCACCGCCCATCGCATGAGTACCTATCCAAACAGTTCCACCAGCAACCAAAAAGTAGAGCTCGTTAAACAGTGTAAATTTGTACCTGAAATACATAATGAGGAGAAAAGTAAAGGGGGATGTAGAACAGAAGGCAAGATAAGGTTGATGAGAAAAGTAAAAGGTGCATTGGATGTTACCATTCTGGCAGCCTTTCATCATTGAGGATAGGACTTTGCCATTTTTCAATCTCTTCTTCCCACCGTTTGTAATCTATGAATAACCAGAATGTTATCGGTCTCAGATGTATGAAGTTAATAGAAATCTCTTAAAACAAAATAATTCTGAGAAAAAAAGCCATATCAGAAATCATGATTCTATATTGTCAACTTGTAAAAGAGATTAGTGCCAGAAGACGAAATATATTTAAACCAATTGCGTACTTGTCAGTGCATCATGAGCCAAGTTCAAGGCTGCTCTTTCAGAAGTGCCATAGAATTTTGTGTATCTCCTATAAGAAGACGAAATGTATTTAAACATCCAATGTCTGTACATGTTGGCATGCAGTGATGACAAAAAAGAGAAGTAAATTGTAAATACCTATGATATGAGCTCCCTTTTAAAAATTTTATTTTTGGTGAAGACCAAGCAAGAGAAAATGAAATGGTACACTTTCCATGGGGTTCCACCCAGGCAGAGGCTGAGACAGCAGCACAAAGTGTCTCTCCCGGTGAAGAAGGCATGCTTGGGCCGCAATTGAAATTTTCAAGATCAAACTGTCCATCCTTTAGACACAAAAACAACAATTTTAATTTGTAAACGGGTCACGAAAAGGCATCTCACGGATATAATTTAAGAACTTCTTCGAAAGAATACTGTAGCACTATTAGGAACTCACACAGTAAGATATACAAATTTGAAATTGAATACATATCCAAGGTTGACGAGTTCCATAAATTGAAGGCAGGAAGAATGATAACTAAAAATAAAGGCTTAGTTCTTTACAAGAAACATTTACCTGCATCATTTTACCCCACATCTCCCTTGCTGTTACCGACCTTCCTTCAGCAAGACCAAAACATGGTAGGACTGTCACATTGACATTCTGAGTTTCAGATGCAGCAATGGCAAAGGTAACAGGAGGGTTACCCTTACCAGTCCTGTGAAATGACGTCAGTTCTTAGAAACATTTGAAATCTAGTTATTGTGTTAACAATATACGTTTATGTAACTTATGCACCAGAGCAGAATGCAAGAAGGCTAGCAGGATAATAATTCGTTGGAACAAACAAATAATATCAATGCAGCACCAAACTCCGAAGTAAATGTCAAGGAAACTCGTGGACCAGAGGAAAATTCATGTGATAACTCAGAAAAGAGAAGAAAATGAAATGCTAGCCCCTAAAGTTTTTTCACACTCAATTAAACCCTCAAACCCAGGAAAAAAACCATTGTGACCCTTTCACTAAGGTTAAATTCCCGTGACCCTCAATTGATGTAATTTTTTAATTCGAGGGCTTAATTGATATAATGCTCAATACTAGAGGTTAAAAGCAAACTTTTCAATATTCTAACATCCTTCAAAATTCATGGTCTCAGGGAGAAGCGAAACAAGATGTGTCAGAATTAATATTCAGAATATTTACAAAATCCTAAAGAAATATTCCGGTAGTTGTTTTGTCAAATACACACACGTACACGTAAAAGAAATAACCTGCTAAATATAGTACTGATGTTTTGGGTTGTTTACATGAAGCCTCCAAAACATCTAAAAGGCCTAAAGGTTTATATGCAAAACAGGTGTCATGAGACAAGGTAAACTGAATGGCTTGTGCCTTTTCACGTCTGAAAAAATCAGGCATATTCATGATCTCTCTCATCCACGCTTCACATAAATGCCATAATCAGGCATATCCCTCAGTGATTTCGCATCACATTTCCTAAGAATACAAGAGCAACTATGTCCCCCTAATTTTTAACAAGAAAGAAAAATAGTACTCAAATTTTATTATATTTTATCCATTACTCACAATTATCCGTAAACTGAGAGTCAGTGCAGGGTTGCCACAAATGTAAATTGAGTAGATTTTAGGAGCTTTCCCGGAGGAAAATGTCATACGGCCATACCTCCCGACACGGTAACAACTTTTGCTAGCAACAGAAGTATGTCCTCATAACCAAAATAATGTGTTGCTCACTTTTTTTTTTTAAGTGAATGATGTATTTTAATTAGCTACTGAGCATCATAAGGAAAACATCTTTCTTTGTTTTAACATAAATACTTATGTCAGTCCATCAACATCTTTTGTTTTTTTCCCAATTTCTTTTTCCCTACTTATTGTTGAGCTTGTGTGTATTTAGAAAGGGGCCAAGGACTAGATAAAGCCATAAACGTGCTTAGCACATCATGTTCCCTTTCACCTCCTATAACAGTGAAATAACCAGGAGAAATATGCAAACCAACCGTCATATAAAGCTATTAAGGTTTGATGACTTGCTTGTGATGAAGAAGTACACCAGAAACTCCATCTTCGCCTCTATCAAAATAAAAGAGAAGAAAGTTAAGACATTTTCTAATGCACACAATCCAAATAGAAAGAACATCCACTAAATATACTCACATGAACGGTTCATTCACATGATCCCCTGATAAGTGTGAAACTCCACCAATTGAATTCTGCAGAAACAAACATCGATTACTGAAAATGCAAGAACCAGTCTTTTTATTGATCGAGTAAAATTAAACACAATATTGAACAAGTCTGGACCCAGGAATGAACTTACCACCCATGTTAAGAGTAGGCTGACTTTTGCCCTTTCTTTTCCAGTATTCACCAACTGCAAAGGAACAAGTAATGGCCTTGTAAGAAAAAAGAGAAGAAAAGAAACATAAAATAGTCTTGTAAATAACCAATTACAAAAATAAATCTGAAATAGCACAAAAAAAGAAAAAGGGCTGTAAGCATAACATGCCACTAAGTTATTGATATTTAGATTCAGTAAACATACTGTATAGACAAAAACAGCTGTTGGAAGACTAGTGTCCTTATAATTATGTGGTATGAAAGGTGATATCTGTCTACAGGACACTTTTAGGTCAGGATCTGGTTCACCTGAAAATGGAGACCATTATAAAACAGGACGCAAATTAAAATAAACTGACTTGAATGACCAAGAAAGTTTGAATAATACCATCATATATTGTCCATGCTCTAGGAAACAAAGCATGGTATGTAGAATGCTGGCCACTCAGATTCCAACCCCATGATGAAATACCCTCATCACTAGCTTTCCTGTGAAAGCATGCAACTGACATTAAACTCGCAATATACAGTAGCTCTAACGACAAGTTCCATACCTAACTTCAAAATTATGGCCAGAGACAGATTAATCTTTCTGTTCAAATCTAGGCAAGCTACAGAAAGTTCACTGGAATCTCTCTACCTTTCACAGAAAAAGAAGCAAACTTTGGATACACAAAACATAGCTGCATCAGGATTCATTCTATTCCAAAATAACTAACCCCATCCGTTTTCTCAAAGTTTCTCTATTCACTCCGTCCCAGCTCAACAAAATATGCTTGACAAGCATTTAGCAAATTACTATCAGAGATTGAAGTAGCATGGTTGATAAATAAATATATAAAAAAAGACGTAGCAAGCAGAGCTTAGTTTCTCAGTCGACAGTTCACCAAGAAATATCAGTTCTAATGTTGGAAACAAAATGTAAGAACTTTGACAGATAAATAAGAACACATATTACTCAATCTAATTGAATTTTCCTCGGTACAGAGCAATCAAAATTATCAAAATTCTGCATGTGCGACTTCTTAGAAGAAATATTAAAAGCTAAAATCAATGCACCCCAATTCTGCAGTCAGTTGAGATGACAAGTAAGAACACATATTACTCGATCTGCCAAGTTCTAATTGAATTTTCCTTGGTACAGCGCATTCAAAATTATAAAAATTTATGCATGTGTGACTTCTTAGTAGAAATATTAAAAGCTAAAATCAATGTACCCAAATACTGCAGTCAGTTGAGATGATATCAATTACTTCCTTTTGATATGATATGATGATAATGCAAAAAGGAAGAGAACGAATAGAATAAAGTAGAATTAATCAAAGAAGATAATTACCATACAAACCAAAATCAGATGCCTACATGCATAACATTGATTAGTTAACAAGTTACATATGTACGAGATGCAACAGTTGGAAATTTGAAACCAATTAATAGTTATAAGTTTTGCATATCCATTTGAGGTTCAACCTCAAATATCAATCAGTTGATGAGAAATATCTATTTCTATTTCTTTTTGCAACATGTAAAGATTTTCATATAGATATTTTTTAGAATGATTGTATTAGAACTTAATCTTACCCTAATCCTTCATGCTGTCCAGGAGCCAAAACTGACGCATACTTCTTATTCCCACCATCACGAGATATAAATATCTACAGTTTCAGAAAAGAAATCAAATCGTTATGAGAATAAAAAATCTGTTTAATGTTTCTAAACATCTACTGTATTCTTTTTATTACTCGCTAAGGGTTTTTTTTTTGGGGGGGGGGTGGGGTGTCTGGAAAAGCGCCTATAATCCAAACCATGTTTTTTTTATAGAAATAGAGTAGGCCTCATTAAAAAAACCCTTCATAACCTCCAAGTTACAACAGTCACGTGAAGGAAATTGGAAGGAATAATCCAAACCATGTTGTTGGTCTATATTTAAAAAGGAAAAATATATTAATTCTGAATGAGGCCTTGAAAAATCTTTTAGGTTTTGCTTGTTATTTAGAATGGGAAACAGTGAGAATGGAAAATATGTTAATCCATTAGTTAAGATTCATGATCACTTTCCCACCATGTAGCTTAACCATTATATTAACAAAATTTCCATACTCATTTCAATCCTACGTACCAAGCAGAGCCTTAAAGAATATTTAATATGTCTTATGGAAACACAAATTCAAGTTCAATACTTATTGCATATGTTCAAATGACAGTCCCGAAACAAAAAGTATAGCAATCTTATTTCGCATGCAGTCTTCTGAATCATTCCTTGAATTAAACTAACTAAAATAATACCAAGAATAGGGCATTAAAAAGTAAAAAAGTTGAAGATCCGAGCTTTACAGAAAATTGATTAGCCATAACAGGTGAAGGGTCACAAGTTCCGGGAACAATTTGCCATTGCCTGAACTCGCCTCTGAAACCCCTGGATATACTCCCACTCCTGCAACACAAATTGTCACAATAAGATGGATAAAACATTCCAGCACTACGAACTAAAACATTTAGCTAAACCACATTAAATACCCCATTCCTCCCAGTGGAACTCCTTGAGATGCAGATGGCTTACAGCTTTCTCGGGTGAAAGGGTCAATAGGTGCTTTCTGCACATAATCATGCCACAACATATCAAGTTACTCAGAGCTATCAAGGAAAATAATTGCCTGCTTCCAAAAAAATAAATTAAAAAAGAAAATGAAGCAAATGTCTGTAAACTAAATAAAATTGGAGAATTACCCTTCCATGAGATGCCTCTTCCCTGACATAGGACCATAGACGTATACCTAATCGCACCTAAGGTTTCAAATTCCAAGATCAATTCGAAGAGGTAACCAGTACAGGTGTAGTAACTTAAACCAGTCAAACAAGGTTTTCGATCACTTACCATCTTTATTGCTTCCTTAAATGTAATACTGAATTCTTTAAGAAGATTAGCATGACTGTTTAATCGCCTTCTCCAAGCTTGTTTTGGCGGGCCAGCACTATCAAAATCAAACTATATAGGAGTATCAAACCGAGTTAATTAGTATGGAATAATATTAAAAGTTCATCTGAAGCTAAACCTACAATTATCATGTCAAAAAAAACTAGTTTCATATAGAATTAACAAGCTATTTAAGGCAGAAAATCAAATAAATCAAAGTGACATTTTTCATCCTAATATTCAGCAGTAAACACTCACACGATATGGCTATGTACTGGTTTTAAGATCATCAAATTGAAACAATATTAGGAAGAACAAACCCCTTCTAATTCTAGATGTTACCAGGCATGATTGTCAGTCTCTTTCCCACCTTTGAGACTTAAACTTTATTATGTGACATAGGCATCAAGTTCAAAAAGGCCTTTTTTCCAACCGATTTTTAAACATTTAAGGATTTTGATCAGACATCAGCTGCAAAAATCAAACACTACTATCGAAGACGAGAATTATATCAGGCCAATCAATCTTCTACTTTTTTAAATCTATTTCCTGAATGAAGATCGCAATCAAGCTTTGATTAATTACTAATACAAAGAAACAGTCAAATTCCATAAAAAGTATTTAAAGTAAAAATATTAACTAAATCTCTTATACACCATCTACAATATCAGTACGATTATGAATTAAAAAAGAGGCAGCCAAAAAATAAGTAAAATTTCAAACATTGTTAATCAAGATATAGAGCTAATTCCGTGGGAAAATATACCTCAATCCTATTAATTTCAATAGTAGTACTAGCTTATTTCCTCTGATTTTACACCTAATTCCCCCTCAAGAACCAAACATAACAAAATAAACCTAGAAAATGATCCCAAAAAAAGGCTTACCAACTGTAAGGTGTGACGGCTGATATATTCCTCAGGCGGCCATGAATTCTTTCTACAATGGAATATATTGCTTGTAACCATGTCGACTGTTCAAAATTCAATTTCCAGTCCAACAATTACTCTTATTTTTCCTTGTTTTCCCCTTCTTTTCAGCTATAAATATCTAAAAGAAAACGCAAACAACTAGGAAGCAAGCAACCGCCTCGTATCCTGCAAAGATCTTATTAGTTGTTGAAGAATGAAACGAAGTGCTTAATCAAACAGGGAATCGCGGGATCAGAGATCCGGAGAGTGCTTGAGATTTCTCATGAAAGATAGGGAAAATAAAAGAGAGCAGCGTAAAGGCAGCGATGGCGTTCTGATTGGATATAAAGAAAATTTTGAAAAGAAAGTAAAGGAAAATCTGAAGAGTGGAGCCGTGGCGTTGGCGTGGGCGTGTCTCCTGCAGGAAGAGCCTTTTGGAGGCTTGTCAATGCTTGGTGTAATCGCGGCTCGCTCTCTCCTATCGCCAGCCGGTCCCAACAACAAACTGGTATTAATATTATAGGAAAATAATTGATTATAAAATATACCTTTAAAAACTTTTAATACAAGCAAAAATATCTTATAAAATTCCATTAATAATAACTTTACATAAAATGATAGAGTAAATTTTATTAAAATTTATATAAAAATAAAAAAATTATAATTTAAAGTACAATGATTTAATAATTCTAGATTAATTCCTGATATTATAATTTAAACTTTTAATTATTGTAAGATTTTATTTCAGATTTGAATTTAATAAATTATATTATAAATTTAAAGGTATAAAATTATAATATTTTTAGAAACATAATATTAGATCGTTAATAAAAATAATTATATAATCATCCCCTCAACATCCCTTGATTTATTTCTATAAATAAAAAGGTAATAAAAAAATTTTTGCTTACAAATGTTTATATTTTTTAATAATAATTCTTTAATAAACTAATTTTAGAATAATATACCGCGTCATGTGTATTTTTTTATTATTATTTTGCTTTTACTAGGACGAACTTCAATCTTTGTAGAATTTTCATTTCACTTCAGTGTATAAAATAATTTTATTTATTTTTATTTTCTAAAAAGCGTAAAGAATAAATGGGAAGTGTTTGGTGGTTGGTATTTGAGGGAGAGCAGTGTTGGAAAAGCGTTCGTAACCAATTATTATAACATGGTGGCGGTGTGAGCCGATTCGATCCTCAAATTATAATTTTTATTTTAAATTGATCTTTAAACTTTTAATCTTTTAATTTTACATTTAAATTATAACTCACGTTTTAAATTATAGATTTGAGATGTTTTCTTTCACTCAAGTGTGATTAGAGATTATCATTTTGTTCGAATATAATAGATTCTAATATGACTCAATCTTATAAAATCATTTTTAATCAAAATTTGGATCTAATTTTAAGATAAAAAATCTTACACTTGACAGGAAATAATAATATAATTATCTTTTATATTTTTAATAAAAGTTGTTTTAATGTTCCTCTCTAGATTTTTTTTTAAATAAACCATTGATTTTATTTAAAATAGTAAATATCATAAATTACAATAAAGATTTGCAATCGTAATCTTTAATTAAGCACATAATAAGGACAATTTCCTATAATCATCGAAACAAAACTAGCAACTTGATATCACATAAGTATCATACAAGGAAAGATTAAAATCTAACCAAAAAAATCGAACAAAGATATATACAAACAGATCTGATCATATCGGCAAACGAACTACAAAATGAGATCAAGATACTGAAATACCACGACAAACCGCAAATCAGACTCAAGCGACGTGAAAAACTATCCACGAACGCATAACGGATATCTAAATCCAATTCGATGGTCCAAAGCAAGAAAGATCAATAATATAATATATAAACGACATATTGATCAGTCGTTGCGATGATGAGATCAAACTACTGAAAGACCACGACAAATCGTAAATCATACTCAAGCGACATGAAAAACTATCCACGAACGCATAACAGATATCTAAATCTAATTCGATGGTCCAAAGCAAGAAAGATCGACAATATAACAGATAAACGACATCTTGATCAGTCGTGACCATGTCTAATAAACCCTTAAAAATGATAAATGAAAACAACGGTAAAAAAACGTGTCATAAACAAAAAAAATATGTCATAAAGACAAAAAAAAAACATGTCATATAAATAGACTTATTGAAAATAAAAAATAATATCCGGGTTAAACGTGTCATACATTTTGATTTCAGGTTTCATCCAACACCAGCTGCGTTGGTTCTCGAGACATTGCAAAGCGATAGCCATTATGCTCAGCTGATGGTTATTCCTTAGTTTTGTTTACATTTTTTTCCATTAAAAAAAAGTTATCCGGTTGTCGTGTGAATAAATATAATACTCGGGTTAAAGTCGTATCGACAACCAACAATTAGTTGGTGAGGCATTAGATTTCTTAAGTAATATCATGTGTTTGAATTATGACATTTGTGAATGGAGTAAACTAGGCTGGGAAGATCGTCCTCACCTCTGTAGTATTAAATCTAGATTAGTCGATCAATCAAAAATTGAAATTAAACTCGAACTCGAAAAAATTTAAACTCAAACATTTTCAGATTTAACTCAATTGAAACTCAAATTTGAACCTTAAATATATAAAAGTCTTATATCATGTTTAAAAAATAATATATAATATTAATATTACTAATAACCTAATTTTTAAAAAAATGTATTATACTATCATTTTCGAGTTACTTGCGAACATTTCGAATTATGTATTAAATAATTCGTCTTAACTTGTTAAGAACTTATTTAAGTTCAATATCGAATCGAAATTATTCGATTAAAAAAATTAACTAAATTAAACTCGAATAAATTATAACCTATTTTATCTAATCTTCTCGTTTATTGATAAGGATTTTTTTTATATTTTTTTAAAAGAAAAAAGAAAAAGGTATTTACGCATGATAGCAGAAAGAGCGGCACCGATTTTTATTTTGTCCAAACTAAACTGAGAATAGTGTCAGGCAGCCGTCCAACTTGGACTCCTCGTAGTTGAAACGTAACGACAACAAATTAGGTATTGGATTTGTTTTAATATTCAAAACACCGAATTTCTACTTTATTTGTTTCTTAATTAATTTATATCATATAAATAATAAATTAAACCGTTATATCACCTAATAATAATATGACTCAACATGTTAAAATTTATATTTAAATATAATATTCTAATATATAACCGTCACATCAACACAAGTATTTATTATATGGTTGAACATATTTTTTTAAGTTAAACTAATATTGGAGTATATATATAAATTATAATATTGATCAATTTTAAGTAACAAAATAATATTAAATATGTGAGAAAGTGATATATGCATATTGTCATCTTTTTACAATTGAATAAATATTTTTATACTTCAAAAAGGAAAAAAGAAGAGAATAATACATAATATTTAACTAATTGTACATAAAAATTATAAGACGCACAATACATCACGTCAAATTAGTTGATAAAATGAGAAAAAGAGTTAACTCTACTAAACATAGATAGTTAATAAATTGGAAATGGTAAAATTATAATACAAATTCTAAATGTTGGTCCAAATTCAATGTTGTGCCTCAAAATAAGCCTAAATCTAGGGATGGACATGGGTCGGGTTTCGGCCCACCCGACCCGAAAATTTCACATCATTTATTCGATCCGACCATATTCGAAAAATATATACCCTCCACCCAACCCGAACCAGACTCAACTTTTTGAGATTAAATTTGAACCCGACCCTACCTGAAACAATAAAAAAATATTATTTTTAAAAACAATAATTTAATTGAAAAAGACCCGGCCTAAAAAAATATAATCCTAAACCGAATCTGACCCGACCCGAACATCACCTTTAAAAAAACTCGACCGAAACCCTTTTTTTTAAACCCACACCGATCGGGTCGAAACCCGTCGAGTTCGAGTCTCATGCCCATCCCTACCTAGATTCCTTGTGCGTGGACAAACTATTTAAAATTTTTACTAACCATAGATTTAATGGAATAAAGTATTAAATCTCTTAATAAAATTAAATACGTGGATCATGATATTATAATTGAAGCAAATTTGATTAGGAAGAAAGTTATTGTAATGAACCTCTACACTATATAATCCAAATTAGTTATTCAATAAATTAAATGTATTTAATTGAACCCATAAATATTTATTTTAAATAATTTTTAAACTATATATTTAAAAAAAAAAATTATCATGAAATTAATATCCTCTTTAGAAATAGGACAACCATAACTAGTATCAAACACAATAGATTCTTTGGTTGTCATTTTCTGAACAAATGCTTGGTACATATTCTTATTAAGTGAGATATAGAATATATTTTTAAGAGAATATTTTAATGTAAAACTCAATTTAAAAGTTTGAAGTATTTAATTAAAAATCTAAACAGTAACATTAAGAAAGATGTGAATTGAATATTTTTTTCTTCTAATTGTTCACTCCTGAGAAGAGGAATTAATATTTTGTTATGGATTTAATTATAGTATATAATTAAATTTTTAGTTTTTAAAATATTAATAATAAATTTCTTATTATAATTTAATTTTATATAAACTTAAAGATTTCAAATTAGATTTGTAGAGTGAGAGGGATGGAGCAACTCCAACCAATGCGTCAAATCATTTTCTTAGTTAAAGATTTATAGCAGTTTTTATTTACCAGAGAAGATCCATTGGGAGAGTTTTGGATATTTATTTTGCTCTCATGGTCGGGTACTTGATGATTTTATTCCAAATAAAAGGAATTCAAAAGGAGTTCGCTTTGGTTTTATTCGCTTCGCATCAATCAAAGAAGCAAGGATAGCGATCTCAAAAATGAATGACTCTCGTATCGACGACAGCAAAATAGGTGTTTCTTTCGCTAAATTCAAACCTCGACATTCCTATAGGAGAAAGTCCTCGACAGGTGTTCTTCGCAAGTCCGGGATGGAAGATGATTCGAGGAAGAATCATTATAAAGTTGAAGGTGTTATAGATGAAGAAAAACTTCAGGTGTTGAGCAATTGTCTAGTGGGGTGGTGCAAGGACTTTGTCAAAATTGGTCATCCTGCTAGACAAATGCAAGCGAGGGCCTCACTGGCTTCACCTTAATGAGAGCTGCTGGTAATGCGATTTTAATGATTTTCGAAGACAATGCTTCATTGAGAAGTGTGAATAACGATAAATCAAAGATTCTCGCAGAGTGGTTCTCCATAGTCGAAGCTTGGTCAGAGAGTTTGGTAATAGAGTGTCGTCGAGTATGGTTAGTTTACGAGGGTGTTCTTTTTCACGGACGGAATTGGGATACTTTCGAGAACATTGTTGATAAGTGGGGTTTATTACTAGCTATCGACAAAAGTTATCAGTCTCCATCATCCTTTAATCGCGCAAAAATTCAAGTCCTCACAAAGGTTGAAGCGAGAATTGATGTGATGTTGGAATTGAAGGTTGGTGACAACTTCTTCAAGGTCATGGTGCATGAGATAGAGCCTTCATTCAAACCAAAATCTTAGGCTCCTGAAAAAGATGAGTCTCATTAGATCTTGTCTCTTCAATTGTGGTTTTGTTTGTCTTTATGGTTGTAGGTGTTGCTTTTAATTTGTATTATGTTCTATTGCGTTGTTTTATTCCTACTGCTGGTGGTGTAATTAGAAGTAAGGTGATTAGACTGTGGCTTTGGATGAGGTTATATGAGGTTAAGGTGTTTGTTGTAATGGTGTACATCACCATGAGAGGATATTCCGTGGTGTCTTTTGTATCGAGTATTATTATCAATAAAATTTGAGGTACTCTTTTCTTCCTTCCAATGTTCGTTAACATACTTTTAGTATGTGAACGAATATGAAGTGAGTTTTTAATGAGACCTCCAACTTCTATATAAAAAAAAAAGATAGATATTATATTTTTATATAAAATAAATAAATATTTAAATATTAAATAATATTTAATATCTAACAGTTCAAGGCATCAATTTGCATACACTCCATGGAAGGAAGGCTAAGCTTCGAACAGAACAACAGAGAAACAAAGCACATATGCTACCATATAATCTTACATCTAATTTAGCATGTTTATACATGAATTCAGAACATACAGAGTCTGGCTGTCTGCTACCTCGAAGCTGCATTCGAAGTAAAACTATATTAGCAGAATAAGAAAATTACTTCGAAAATAATTAGTGACAGATTAACACTGATGAAAACATATTACAGCACTCAAGAAAATGATATGATTTGAGCGAAAGTTACAAGTGTAACCAACTCTAACCTAATGAAAAAAGGGTTTAAGAGCGTGACGACGATGACCAAAACCGACTCAAAAAAGTGAGGGAAGTTTGTAGCTGAACAAGCTAAAACTCCATCTAGTTCTTCAGTTGCCTAAATTGGGAGTCATACTTTTCCTTATGATAAACACTGCAACCTGTGGCCATCTTAAGATTTAATGAAACAAATCACATTTCGAATCAAGTCCTCCTTTAAGTTCCTAATCCGAAAAGAGAAACAATTATATACAATGAGCAGAAGAAGTATATATAAGACCACTCCCCTTCGCTGCCTAAAGGTGCAAAAGGCTAAGTTCCATCAACATAAGAATCCATTCAACCTTCAGTCTCCAGATACAGATTGTAAGCTAGCCTGAGATAAATTTCTTACTAATTACAACTAAACAAGGCAACATATAGTTCAATCAACAATTGTTGTGATCAAGACAACAATGATCTTAATGTATAACAACAGATAGCGATTTTCTTGCATCAGCATTCAGCAGACTAAAAGAGATTCAGATAGCAATCAACTGTGCCGAAAGGAACAATCACAAATCCTAAACCAAGAAATTTTCTCATACCACAAACTTTAATATGATGAAACTAAACCAAATAGATGAACCAACAGAGAAGGTACCAAATAACTACAAATGTGAAAGAAGAAATCTCAAATTTACCTTTCTCTTTGTTAATGATAGCTATTAACGCCATTCAATTATATTGATTGACTACAGTCAGCGAAACCAGGCTCTCTTCGTAGACTTCTGCTTGATCGATATACGAAACAGCATCATAAGGAATCACAGGGATCCTAAACGCATTCTCCTTGGAATCATATAGAACTAAATTCATCCCAAAATGAAACAAAATCAGACCAGTTTCTGATACAAACAAAGGTGCAGAATAGAATTCGGCTCCCGGATACGGCAGGTACGGAATAGTAATCAGCTTAGTCCAAGACTCTCTCGTTCCATACTCTTTCATAACCCAAGCCACAGCATACAATCTCCCATAGTTACAAAGCACACAAAGACATCCATCCAATACCCCTAATGTCCTCTCACTGGCTCCATCGCCATACCACGGTTGCGGAACTTCCTTATACGTCTCCTGAGCCAAATCAAGGGAGACAATAGTACACGAAAAGCCCTCTTGTCCATGAAAAACAACCCAATTCAAATTCCCATCAACATGTTTCGCAGATTCATTACAAGGAACCCCAAATGGAAAATCTTGAATCCTTCTCCAACTATTAGTCCTCAATGAATAAACCCTAACTATACTCTCATAAGCATCTCCAAAACCCTTACTTTGATAACAAAATACCCTAACAACCTTATAATCATCCAGGGAAGCATCAAAACCAAACCCATAAACAGTATAGCAACCCCTCCTTTTCTTAAACCCTAAATCAGTCAACTTTTTGGAAACCCTTAAAGCCGGGTTCAATAAAATGACTGTATCTTGTCTAATAGCAACGCAAATTAAGCCGTTACATGAACCCACAACCCAATCACAACGAGAACCGTTCTTCAATGGGTAATCGATTTCCATGGCAGTGACAATTGGGTCATTGAAAATAGAGTTAAGAAAGCATGACTTGATGCTATATCGGGTTGGGGTTTGGGTGGTTGCGGTGTTGATTAAAACTTGTTTTTTAGAGAACTTGGGGTCGCTTTTGAGGTGCTTTTTGATGAAGAAAGGATCGGATATGAGAGTTTTCCAGGATTTGGAAACACACCTGAAACGGAGGAGGGATTTGACGGGCAAATTTGAGAGGATCTCGACAATGATTTCTAGTGGAAACGACGGTGGAGGAAGGTTGGCGTTTCTCGAGCGTTTTGGGGATTGAGGTGACACGTCGTGGCTTTCGTGCTGCTGTGATTCTTGGCGATTCCGTTTCTGGGTTTGTTCAGCTGAAGAGGTTGATGGTAGTTCGTGAGACAGTGAGCTGACTTGTTGATTTGGTCGACTCGGGGATGATTCATGGTTTTGGTTTTCCATTTCTCTGCATTTATTTGTGGAGTCACTTTCATACACAGCACTGGAGCATCCAAGGAGAAGGAGACGACAAGTCCCGGGGTTTTTTTTTGGAAGGTTTAGTTACAACGGCGCCGTTTTCGGCCAAATGGAAAAGACCGACTCTATATGATATTTTTTATAGTAACAACAACAACAAAACTCAATTCCCATATGTATGGGGTAAGGGGGAGGTAGGGTAGTAGGCTACCCCCAACGCCAGGTTGAGAGTAGCTTCCGTGGAAGACCTCCGGCAGTCAGAAAAATTAAAAATTTAGATAAAATGCAATGCATGTATAAATAAATACATAAATACATAGCTAAACAGTATTCATATGCAGTCATTAAAACCATATGTGCGTCTGTAACGGGAATTAATCCCTGCATAATAATCCCTGCGAAAGAATCTCTGCATATAGACAGAAACATAAGACCCGGCTAAATTTAAAAGAGGAAACATGAAGAGAATGATACACAGAAGTCAACGTTAGCAAGCCCAGTTCTAATCATTCATAAATACCAATAACAGAAACGTATAAAAAGTATAAGTCATGGAAAATACTACAAAAGCATTAAAAGAAGACAGAGATGATACACCCTATAGATGTGACCCACACTACTCGACTACCCTAGTCTTTAGCCTCCATATTTTCCTATCAGATGTCATGTCTTCGGTAAGGGCTAAATCCCTCAAATCAGATCTCAAGCAGTCTTCCCACTTTCGCCTTGGTCGTCCTTTCCTTCTGGCACCGTCGACTGTAATCGACTCTACCCTCCTGACCGCATCCGACGGTAGTCGCCTAAGGACATGCCCAAACCACCGTAGTCTTCCCTCCCTTAATTTTTCGGAAACAGACACCACCCCCAAGGACATCCTAATAGCAGAGTTTGTCGTCATATCCCTCAGAGTCCTACCACATGTCCATCGAAGCATTCTCATTTCTGCGGCCTCAATCCTCCTTACGTGATCCTTCTTGGTTACCCAACATTCTGATCCATACAACAGCGCTGGTCTTATTGCCATTCTATAAAATTTTCCCTTAAGTTTTAGAGGGACCTTCTTGTCACACAGAACTCCAGTAGCGGCCCTCCACTTTAGCCATCCCGCCTTTATACGGTGTGTAACGTCATCATCTACACCCCCATCTTTATGTATCATAGACCCTAGGTACTTGAAACAATCCTTTGAGGGGAGAACGTGTCCTTCTATGCATACTTCTACATCTTCATCATTTTGGTTCCCATTGAAGTTTGAACATAAATACTCTGTCTTTTCAATATTGATCCTTAAACCTTTTTCTTCCAAAGCAGTCTTCCAGGTAGCCAGTCTACTATTCAAATCAGATTTTGTTTCAGCAACTAAGACAATGTCGTCAGCGAAAAGCATACACCATGGTACACCGTCTGGTGTCGCACAATAGATGTCGTCCATAATCAAGGCGAAGAGGTAAGGGCTAAGAGCCGACCCCTGGTGGAGTCCGATTTCCACCGGGAATGCCTCGGTGTCGCCAACTGTAGTCCTGACGTAAGTAGTAGATCTATAGTAAATTGTGCTGAATGTGAATGTGATTCAACATTAATTTTGATATTGATTTTAGTACTAAATTTATTAATTTAATTATAATATTGAACTGTTAAATTTAAAATAAATTAATTATTTGGAAATTAAAATAATATTATTTTAACTATAATTGAAAAATTATAAGTGTAAAACGTTATAATTTACTCTTTGATGTAATTTATCTTTTTTTTCCAAGCCATCAAATTTATTTGATACATCTATTTTTAGTTTTTTTACAAAACAAATTTATTTTAAAGCAAGATTTATCCTAAAGTAAAATTGAGATAATATTAAGAGATATGATATTTTAAATATGTCGATCTAAATGAATTGATTTATATAGTAGTATTTATTCTATATACGTTCAACCATTTAATAATGAACGTTCAATCACTCTTACAGTCGTTAGTACTCGACCACTGAGGTAAGTTGGTTCGTACAAAAAAAACTAAATTATCTAGAAAAAAGAAGTTCTAATGAATAGTAAGGCACTACCATGCTTTCCCCCGCAATTATGCTGTTGCAATACAAAAAAAACTGGAAAGGTCAAAGAGTTCGGACACAAGAGAAATGGAACTTGGCAGTGGCATATAGCGTTGAGAAGGGCGCTATTTGAGTGGGAGCTGCCCATCTGGGATGAATTCATGGAGAAAACTAATAGAGCTTCAAATAGCTTTGGAATAGCGGATCACCTGGTGTGGAAGGGTTCTTCAAATGGTATGTATGAACCCAAAAGGTTCTGTGATAGATCAGTATGTAGCACAGTGGAAAAGGATGAGGTGTGGAAATTGGTATGGGCTAACCTTGCTCCTCCGAAGGTTGAGGCATTCGTGTGGAAAGCGGTCCTACTGAGAATTCCATGCTTAGTTGAGTTATCAAAGCAGGTGTATCAAATCTGGATAGCTGCCTATGTGTGTTATGTCGGGAAGAAAAGGAGACTTCTGATCATTTATTCTGTAAGTGCAAGATCACCCGGAAAGGATGGCAAAAATGGTGTTCTCCGTGGAAGGTGACCTTTGTTTGTCCTGGTAATGTTCGAAATCTGCTCATAGCATGGGATAACCAACCGATTAGAAAAGCTTAAACCCACATGGAAACTTGCTCTGTTCGGTATAATTTGGAGTATTTGGTTATATAGGAATGATTTGTTGCTTAATAATAGTTAGTGGCCCGAATTGTATCCTTCTATCTCTGATTTCATTAGAGGCCTCTACTTTCCTGTTTAATAACCATGCTTGACTGGATGTATGGTGTATTGTTCTGAATTTCTGTTGTAGTCTGGATTCTGCTGTTGCATGGATGTTTACAGGAAAATATCGTCTGATGTCGTGGGGGAGTTATAGATTATCCACATTTCAGTGTAGAGTACTCGGGATAGCGTTTATAATGTAGGACTTTCCATGGTTTTGCTGTTATATGTTTGTTATTCAATCGTAGAGGATGGGGAGATGGCTCGACAGTCTCATTATGGTATTTACTGTTTTAAGCGGATTGACAAGCATCCCAAGTGTTTGATTGTGGAAACAAGCTGTTGTCTGGTCTTGGCCGCTACATGAATTATTGGTTATTGTGCTCTGGTTGATGTGTGTTTGACGTTATGGGGGGCTTACGGATGTAAGCTAAGGCCCCAAGTTATGATTTACTGTTTGCTCGTGCTGATATGTGGTGCGTTTTAGGAGTTTCTGTGCTCTACCTGCTTTTCGATTCTCCTGTTTCGTTGTATAAGAATGGTTGTAGGCAGGAAGTTTGGGCTGCAAGGGGCTACTGCGTGTGAGAGATGGGATATTTTGTTGGATCCATTGACGTTCACATGCCTTTACTCGTTCCTCTGGTTTTTGATGCATATCTGGTTCAGATTTTCACCATTTACTGGCTAGGGGTAGCACTTCTGCTCTTCCTCGCTGAAACTGATTTTGTAGGGCTGCACGTGTGTGCTATTTGTTTGGGATGCAGAGATGCTGAGGTATAGTGATTACTTGTTGGTTGTTAGCAGGTACTGATGCCTAGCTGAAGCTAGTGAATGTGCTGTGTGGAGCTTATACGCTTTGTTAGTGATTGTGTGCTCGGCATTGTGTTTATTTCGGTTCATTTGTTTGTTCTAAAATGTTGTCGTGCTTTGTTTGTTCTAAAATGTTGTCGTGCTTGTATTCGGTTGACGATACTCTTTCTTCACAACTTCATGGTGCGTTCTTTTTCTTCTATTTAGGTTTAAGGAGGTTTTGTAACGAGATTTGATGTTTTGTTTTGTATTCTTTCATCATCTTGAATATAAAACTACCATTTTCAAAAAAAAAAAAAAACACTACCAAATAATTATTAAATTAAATAAACTCAATTTTAAGATTTTTTTTTTAATTTTTTTATGCATTGAATAAAATTAATAATTATTGTTAATTAAAAAGAATGATTAAATGAATTTTGGGTCGAGTCAAAGTAACAAATTTGAGCTTAGTTTTTGGTCATGAGCCTCCGTCAATACTAATTAAAATCAAAATCCAACATAAATTACAAAAAGAAAAAACAACTTATTTATACACATATTATATGAAATATAGTTTGAAAGGCCAATTTCACAAACACTGACCAAGAGTAGTGGAAATCTTATTATTTATTGGTGGTATAAGCTGCATTCATCTTACTGTCCAAAATCCTCAAGCTCTGCTTAAGAATATCCATCTCTCGTTTCCTCTCAAACCCTTCCTTCTCCATTGAAGCTATTCGACCTCTCAAGCCTTTTATTGTCTCTTCCTTCATTTTCAGTTCCTTCTTCATCTCCTCTATCATCTCCTCTTCCTCTACTTTCCAATAGATTGCATCCCCTGTACAAATAATTCGATACAAATTAATGATTATTTTATAATAATTTAATAAATTTAATAATCATTTTGATCTTTTTAGAGATTTAATGACCAGAACGATCATTTAAGTATAATTTAATCAATCCTCGTATACTCAAATTCAGTTAATTGGTTGAGTAATTATATGTTAGATCGATTAACAATTAAATCTTTTTCAAAATTTTATTATTAATTAATTGCATTTGAAATTGATTAATTAATCAAATTAATCGAAATAATTAAAAATATTTAATATTTAATATAGTATATAATATATATATATATATATATATATATTAAACTCAAATTAGTTCATTATTAAGACCATACTACCATTTTACCATACTAAACCCATCAAATTTTTAATATTGAATTTTTTTTTTAATATTAAAACCATAAAAGAATACATTGGAAATATGAGATAGGAAAGTATACCATGAGTTCTTTGAATGAGATCATCAAGCTCAGTTTTAATGGCAAGATAGAGTTGCTTCCATTTCTCCACAACTTCATCTCTCCTCGCCCTCTCCTCCTTCATCTGCTCCAACAAGAAACTCGTCCCCAACAATGGCCACCCCTTATCACTCTTCCGAACCACCATCGAATACCTCTCCATTCCCTTAATCTTCTCTTCTTTCTCCTCCACCGTCTTCCTCAACATCTTCACTTCCTCCTTCAGCTTCCTCTTCTCCTTCACCCACTCAGCCTCTTTGCACGCGACCACCATCGCCGCTTCTCTCTCAATGTTGAGAAGCCTCATCTTGTCCGTCAAATTCCTCGCGCTCCTCCTATCGTGGCAAGGCTTCCGCCTTTTCTTGCTACTGGAAGCGCCCATTGTTGAAGAGGATGGCGGGGAAATGGTGGGTTTTAGGGATTCTTTTTTTTGGGGATTGTGAATTAAGAAAAAACTAAGTGTGTGAATCAAGAGAAAACTAAGTGTGTGAATGACATAAATTCCCTTGCCGACTGGCTCCGACTCAATTAATGAAGAAAAAGAATCCCCACATGGAATTTTTTTCAACACTGTTTGTGATTGATTTAACTTGTGTACAGTGAACATTAGAGAAAACATACGCTCAAATAATTGTTTGTAGGAGCATAAAGTTTTTAATTTTGTTGTCGTGAGGTCGAATTTTACGGTGAGTAATTTATAATTGTTGGAAGTTTTTCACGGAAGTTACTCTCAACCTAACGTTGGGGACAGCCTATTATCTTACTATGAAGGTTAAATTTCGTCTATAGACATATGGTATATATTTTTCTAATTTTAAATTTTTATCTTGTTTTAAATAATACATTAATAATATAATTAAAAATGGATATAGATCATGTCAGATAAAAAAATTTATCTACTTAAATTTAACTCGAGTATTATACATTCCACTTGCGAGTCAATTTGATTTGGATTGAGAAAAAATTCACTTGATTCAAAATTTAATTAAATTTTTTACTTAAATATTTATATTATACGTATATATAAGTTTTATTTTTATACTAAAAATAGAGATTTAATTGAAAATATATAGATGATGTCCTTAAAATTATCTGTAAATATATAATGAATAATTAGACTATTATCTCATATTAGGTTAAAGATTTTTAATCCTGAAAATAATATAAGTCTAACAATTTCTTTCAAATAGATTATATATAATTAGATCTAATCAAAATTTATTAAATTCGAGATGTATATTAAATTTTAAATGTAATTATATTATAAAAGTATAAAATGATCAAATTTATCATCGATAAAATTAGTGACACACCCTAAAATTATAACACTATTTTTAATACTCGTTTTATTATTTATATTTAATTGTTTATATTTAATTTTTATAATAATATTGAATTTAAATATCTTTTCATAAATATAACATATCTTATCTTATTAATAAATTGATATATATATATATATATATATATATATATATATTGGACTAGAAGATGAACATATAAGACAATATGTGGCAAAAATAAAGATAGTGGGATTGGGAAAGGGAGCCAGACATTCAGGAGGCAAGTTTTTTAACCAAAATATCGTGTTCACAAAGACACTATACTTAAGATGGGCATGGGACCCAAACCCGATCCAATCACGTCGGTTTTTAAAAAAAAAATCAGGTTTGAATTGGGTTTTTTTAAATATTGTGTTTGGGTCGGGTCAGATTTAGGTTTAAGGAGAAGAATATTCGCCCTGATAAAAATATAATTTAGTTCAAATCGATATGATATAATAGTACAATTATCCTTCGTATATATATATATTTATGGATAATTACAATAATGTTTGTCTCTATATTTTATCAATTATGTATATATTTTATCAAATAAAAATAAGAATTACACGTGTGTGAGAGGTTAAGTACGATTTTTATCTCAAAATTTAACCGAAATTTTAATTAGATTAAGTTTAGGATGACAAATATAAGATATAATATTAATATGAAGTTTGCATAAATTGAAAACATAATTCCATCTATGTTTATATCTAATTATAGCCTGTTTATGTATTATATAAAAAATTCATTACTGAAAATATTGATTATAATTATAAAATATATTTTTAATGAAAAACCATAAATCAAATATAAAGTTTTTTTTAATAAAATTATTTGATTTGATTGAGATCACCGTTTAATTTTGGAAATTAATGTTTTGGTGCACCAAATACCAAAGTAAGGGATGTATTAGGTATGACAGTTTTAATATACGGTTAAGAAAATGTGTTACCGGAATTATTATTATTTTTTAACATTTCTAGTAAAATACTATTTGAAACATTATTTTTTCTACCGAAAATGTTAATATTAGACATTACCTAAAATGTTTAATATTTCCGGTAAAACGTGACCTAAAACATTATTTTTTTTCTACCGAAAATGTTAATATCGGGTTCTACATAAAATTAGTTAACGAAAATAACATTTTCAGTAAAAAAATAATATTTTAGATATCACTTTACTAAAAATATTAAAATAATAATAACATTTTTAATAAAACATTTCTTTAACCGTATATTAAAACTTTCATAAACCATAATTACCCAAAGAAATTGTGCATTTGTTATATTTAAAGTCATATGATGTTTTAGTGCCAGCTTTGCATGGTCCCTAGTGTTTGATTAGAATGCTTATCATTGAGAAAATTTATCTATTGGATGCATCAAATTCAGCTCGTGAACATTGATTTTGTGACATTTAGGGTTTAATCAATTTACTTTTAAATATTAATCTTTAGTATCAATTTATAAAAATAAATTTATTGTTTACAAATAGAATATACAAATAACAAAATACTAGGGATGGGCATGAGTCGGATTTTTTGTTCACCATATCCGACCCGAGAATAATGAGTCATCCACTCGAGACCTGATCGACCCAAAATAATAAAAAAAATTATTTTTATTCAATAAAAATAGTGACTTAATTGAAAAATATATATAGAGGAATATTATTGTAATTATTCATAAATATATAAAGTAAAATTATATATTTTTCTCGGATTGAATATTTTTTTTACCATAAATCATAACCCGACCCAACCCGAACAACGCACTTAAAAAACCCGACCTCAATTTTTTAAAAAAAAGATCTAATCCGATCAAATCAAATCAGCTCAAAACCTATAGGATTCCCATCCCATGCCCATTTCTAAAAAAAATACATTTAAACTTAAATTACACCAACTCAAAACCACTTTAAATTATCATTGAAATGAGTCTTTCATGTTTATCATAAATTTACCAATAATGTTACTTGGAAAAGGCCAAAAGTTGAAAGTACGATATGATGGCTATCATTTTCATTGCCAGACAGAAATCTACCCTTCATTTCCTATCTTGTTCACCAACAATTTACTGTTTGTCTGCAAATAATTTTCTTTTTCCAGGGAATTTAGTGAGATTTTTTCTCGGAAAATTCTGCAATCCGTCCACACCTGGAGTTTTGGGTAGGAGAACAGATGTCGACATCTCTTGCATTTTTCAAAGCCTACCAAATCAACATAATTTCATGTACCAAACAAAACTCATTTATGATCACAGCTTACCCACCCTTGGATTCCCTGAGCCAAAAATGAAAGGACCCTCAGTTCATTGTATGCTTGGTAAGTGCACAATAATGCTAGTTTACAAACTACTTGTCCTTTTCACATTAAATTTGAGGATGCGGAATGAAGTATCACCTTCTACAATCTAATATACGATTAAAGAAAAATATTATCAATTTTGTTATAATTTTTTTAATAAAATCGGTAAAATATTATCGAAAATATTATTATTTCTACCGAAAATATTATTATTGGGCGTTTTACCGGATTTGATAATATATACAGTAGAAAAAAATAATATTTTAGGTAGCGCTTTACCGGATATATTACCAAACTCGGTAAAGCGATCAATAATGTTTTGGGTAGAAATAATAATGTTTTAAGTAATTTTTACCGAAAATATTTAAAAAAATAACAAAACCAGTAAAATATTTCTTTAGTCGTATATTAAGGCCGTCATAAACTTCCTAATTTGTGACTTTACTGTGCTAGAGAATAAATAAATAAGGCTTAAATGTGCATGAAACCTTTAATTTTTTTAAATAAAAATAATTAAGTATTATTTTTTTCAAATGATTTTTTTTAAAAAATTAAATAAACTTTAATTAATTTTTACCATTAAATCTTAACAATAGTTTTTCACAAATTACACTTCACACTTTGATTTCGTTATATTAGATTCATATAATTTTTTAAAATTAAAATTTTTAAAAAAATATTAAAAGTATTAAAATTTATTTTAAGGTTTTTTTTGACGAAATAGAAGCAGTTAGTTTTATTTAAAATAGAAAAATAATCAAATTATAATAAAAGTTTACAGCTACAACCGTAAACTAAAACACATAATAAGAATATTTTCTTATAATCATTAACACAAGAAACTAGCTACTTAAGATCACACAATGATCATACAAAGAAAATAATTAAAAACATAACCAAATAAACTCGAATAAAAGGTAAATACAAATATATTTGACTGCATCGACAAACGAACCACAAAAAGAAGTCAAACTATTGAAAGACAACCGATAAATCACAAATCATAATCGAGTGTAAATACAAGGAAATATCTATTAAAATATAACTCAATCATTTGACATTAAACGCGCACATATATGACATTTATAGTGCTTAAACCTGATACTTTAAGGAATAACAACAATTCTTTTACCACCGAAGTCGTTTGGAGGTAGAAAAAAAGACATAATAAATATAAAAAAAATCATTTGATAAAACTATGAAATAATTTGTGATATTAATTGATTAAAAATAATTAAATTTAATAATCGAAACAATATATTAACAAAACTTTAAAATGTAAAAAAATAATTATGTATAACAATTTAATAACATAATTATTCTTTTAAAAAAGTCAAGATTTTTTAACATCTTTTAAGTTAATGAGTAAATTTACAAAAAAATATTAATTTGTCATTTTGATAATGGGTAGGGTTCAAGTACCAATGATTGCAAAACATATGAGTATTCATTGTTAAATAGCTTAGAATCTTTAGAAATACTACCACTTGTAATCACCATATATTAATAAAAAAAATATAAGTAAGAATATCAAATGATAGTCCTGATGTGAGAGGAAAAAATTTGGAATTAATTTACGATGAGTTTTAATCTAAAATGTTATTTTGTACTTTACTTTAAAAAGTTATATAACTGGTAAAAATTTGAGTTATAATCAATAATGTTACATTACGACGAGTTTTAATCTAAAATGTTACATTGCCTACTCTAAAAATTTACACAATTGATAATAATTTCGGCTACAATCGAGAATGTTACATGAGTTTTTTTACAATAACTTTTTAGGTTACGACTAAAATAATTATGCAACTTACATGATTTGTTACGGAGAACGTAATATTTTCGGTTTCAACCTAAAAT